GGACTATCTTTTTTTAGGTACATATGGCTCCTACCATGAAACTCCTTTTTCTGTTGCTGCTGCAGTAATTCACGTAGTCTGTGCTTGGGTGGGCTAGGGGAGGGGAAGCAAGTTAAAGATTTGTGTGTGTTTTGTGCTGTGGAAACACACGCATTTCTGAATGTCTGCCCGTGATTTTTTCTCAGTTGCTTTCATGTGTGAGAGGGACAGATAAATGGGAACTTAAGCATGAAAGTGGGAAGGTAAAAGCAGGCACTTACCTGTGCAGGTGAGCACGTACACAATCTTTATATCCATAAACTGCCTGTCTGTGAGGCACCACATGCGTGCGCGGGTGTCTGTGCTGTTGTCGAGCAGCATCCAGGTGTAAGGCTGATTATCTTCCCACACATCTTTTAACGTGTGTGGAATAAGCTGCACATGCAGCTGACGTAGGTGTGCCTGGACTTTTCACACTTTAAGCAGATGCGGAGTCCTTAGTCCTCCGTATGAAGAAAATCTACTCAAAAACTGACTTTATCTCTGTCTTTAGTTTATTTTGGTTGAACTCAGAGCCTATGATGAGGAAAAATGTAGCAAAGAGCATATATTTTCCTGCCCACTGCATGTCTGGACAGCATAGCTGAATGTATAGGCTTTGTATGCCTGGAGCTGGTGGGTGAGCTGTTCAGGCCAGGACAGAGAGCCTGTCTGTGTCTTAGTCAGTACATCATTCCTGGCTTGCTTTTTCCACAAAGAGTCACCTAAATCTTTAAAAAACAGAGGCAGCTTGTTGGAGTAGAGGAAAGAAATTCTGTAGCTCTGCTAGCTCATTTTTTTAGTATCTCTTGAATCTTTTTGAGATTAAGGATGTGGTTCCAGGCATGCTGGAGTTTTTTTTTCTGCTTTGAAATCAAACAAAAGGGCCTAGCTATAGATAAGGGTATGACAAGGAAAGTTAACCCATAGGTTGCTAGTAAACTTTTGGCTTTATTTCCAGCTTAACACTGTCTGGAGTGTGACTGGATGGCACTGGTTCCCCTTCTTTAGAATGAAGAAAAAGACTTTAATGTCTTCCAGCGGGATCATCAAATGGAGTGAAGCGCTGCCAAGTTCAGTCTGAGCTGCAGGGCCCAGTGATTAAAAACAGGCCTGTGCCTTGAGGAGCCGGCAGATGAGGCTGTATGTGACTGGCTCCACACTGCTCCTCCTTGCAAGGCAGGGCAGCCCCTGTCTAAACTGGAGATGTTGTCATGTGCTGGGAGTTTCAGGCACATTTAACTAGATCACTTTTACAAGGTCTGGGACCTGACAGAAATTAGATGAATGACACAGAGGCACAGAACCCCAGTTCCTCAGTTTGCCCTGTATGGCTCTGGGAGACTGAAGTAGGCACATCTGCTAAGTCTGTTGCCAGTGTGACTGAGAGAGTCCAAGTGATAATTCTCCCAAACTTCATCAAGCAGATGCCCAGACTGCAAGCCTGGAGCTCTCAGCATCTCAAGCTTCCCTTTGACAGAACCTTTCCAGCCCCATTCCATAAGTAGCTCTTAGATTGCTCTTTTTATGCTCTTTACATTATTTTTCTTTTCTAAGCTACAGACAAGTTCTGCAGCCCCTGCACAGATGAGCAATTTCTCGAAGGCCAACTTTTCAGTCCCAATAACTGCAACTCTTGTGCTTTTTCTCTCTTAACACCAACCATAATGCTCTTACTGCCAAAAGATTCAGCCTGGGTGCAGTCTTTCTTCTGAGCAGCATCTCTGGTGGCCCTTGCCTATGGCTCAGCAAAAAAAAAAAAAAAAAAAAGTAGGATAGAGAGAAAGAAAAACCATGGAGCTGCAGTGTAACTGAAAAATGTAACAAAGGGAAAATCACAGTTAGCAAAATACTTAATCTTGTGTGAAATATTTTTTTCTGAGCAATGTTTGGTGATCCATTCTAATGCTTCCCTGGAAAATTAGGGTTCAGTTTCAAGGGAGAAGGAAAGGCATAGATCTGCAACTGGAACTGGGTCAGTGTGGGACTGCCAGACCTGAGTGGGAGGCAGCTGAGAGAGCTGGGCTGCAAGAAGTCTTTCATCCCAGCAATGACCTGAGTCCTCTTCCCACCAAAAATTACCTGTACAGACTGTGTGATCTCACTAGCACAGCCCTTCAGCAGACACTGTCACACAAGAAGAAACCCATGCGTGTGCCACCTCCTTTCACTCGTCCTGTGATCATCTTGTTCCTTGGTCATGTTTGTTTCGTGCCTGGTTTTTCTTGTTACTTATTTGTAATGGTCTGAAGGGAGGTGAAGAATACTGCAGCATAAGAATATTTAAATGCCTTTATTTCCTCCAAAGTTTACATCAAGGAGAAAAGCGTTACTGATTTTGTGTGAGGAGGAAAGACGGAATCCCCAGCATCTGGTTGTGCAGGAGAAACCCACAGCGATGGTGATGCTGTGTTTGTGAAGGGTCCGTCTGCTGCTCCATCTGAGTCTCAAAGGAGATCACCCTTCTATCTCTGTTGCCTTAGCATCACATTCCTTAATCTCTGTGTCAGTGGTCTCTCTTTGACTGTAGTCCTCTTGTCTCCAGAAGTCACTCACTGTAGATTGCACCTACAGAAAAGCTGTTGCTGTTGTGATCCAAGTTGACTGTGAAGGCAAGGACTGATGTTGCCTGAAATGTATTAGAGATGTTGCTGATCACAGACCAGTCAAGGCTGGGGAAAAGCAGATTCTCTTCAGTGGAGATTATGCATGCACTTGTTCTGCTTGTGCTTGCTTATGTGTGTGTCTGACACTGCCTTTGTCCTTGATCTGAGTTCAGTGTAGAACATCAGAACATGAGCTTATAGAACATTGTACATGTGCTTTATGCCTGGGGAATGCAGAGCATTTACCTCTTTTCCGGAGTTTTCTCTAGACAGACCCATTAGGAAACAGATTCAGCAAGTAGGGATTTGAGAAAAGAAGGCTGCTATTGCCCTGACATGTGCAACATCCTGACCTCCCTGTATTCATATGTCTTGCATCTGGAAAAGTGGACAACATGTATCATTTTAAGGAAATAGATATGCCCCATCATGACAGCAGGGATTACATGATGGGATTATAAAGCAATCTGTGCAAAAGCAGAAAGAGATTCCCTTTCCTAGAACCTGACTTCAGAAGCACCAAACTCAGTGAAAACTCAAAGAGATTAGAAATAAGAACTAGTAAAACCTTTACTCTGCAATAAACCCAATATATACAATGATAAAGATAATTCACTCCCATGCTCCAGGGCATGCTCTCCTGCCAGGATGAGGGAATTTCCTTTGAGACTTTTCACAGCCCTCCAGCTTTGATACTGTAATGCAGTTGTGTAGGCTGTGGTGTAAGGAAAGTTTCTCTCTTCTGATGTGTAACAAATAGGCAGGGAGAGGAAATTTGGCTTCAGGATTCTTCTTGCAACTTTTGTTCAATGAGTTGAACCTGATAATGAGAGGGTTGTTTCACTGAGGATTCAGCAGGCTTGGACTGAATATAGAAAGCAGGTATGGTTTGACATGCTGTGTCCTATGAGGAGCAGTGGTGGGTGGTTAGGGAATGTCTTACCAGAAGTTACCAACCTCTTATGAATATAGCACTAAAAAAAAAAAAAAAAAAAAAAAAAAAAGACTTGGTCACTAGTGGGGGAAGGTAAGTGGAGCCTTCAGAAACAACCAAATTCCCTGGCCTGGTATGAGGACATATGTGCAAGTATTAAACACAGCTTCTGGCTATTGGGTGGGAAACAGTGTGACTCCTATATTGCATGCTGCTTTTTTTTTTTTTTCAGACCTGCAGGTTTAACTGAGTGCTGAATGAATGATCTAAAGGTCCTTGATATCTATAGAAGACTTCTTGTAGCTTTGAGAAATCCCTGAATAGAATTTCCTACCTGCTCTGGTCTGGTTTAATCTGAAATTCTGGGAGTAGATTCTGGAATCCCCTCACTTCCTGAATTTTTATTGCCAAAACATTTTTAGCTTGGATACTCTCTTCCCTTACTCCACCAAATATTGTAGGGTGCTAGAATTAGAGTTTCAGAACTCAACTCAGTGACAGTCCCTTTAGATGGAGCAGTCTCCTAGTGGTAGGGATTGAATTAAGATCTCTGAGCCCCTTTACACAGCCTGAGCCCCTTCTAAGTTGCCAAAAGTTGTGATGCCAGACAAGTGGCATTCAGCTGGTATTGGCCAGGAACTCCATGCTCCCCAAAGAAATAGACAGTGCTTCATACTTAATGATATGTTTACAGTAGATCTGACTAAAGAATTAACTTAGGCCAGTCTGGTTTTACAGAATATGGTGCTGCTGATATTTTCAAGATGCAAGAAGTACAGCACACACTTTTTTTTTTTTGTAGGAAGGGCAATGACTTTTGCTGGTTTGTTTTGGTTTTTTTTTTTTCATTTTTAATTTTTATTCGGCAAGTTTAATGAAAGGGAAAGAAATAGAAGGAGTCTCCTGGGATGTGGAAGATTCTCACAATATCCAGTTTTAATGCTGACAGCTGTACTGTGCTGTGTTAGCAGTCCCCTCCTAGGGGGTTGCTGCCTGTTGGGCTGGCCAGCTGCAAACTAGTGGAGGGCAGCTGTGTGACAGCCTAAGCAGTGGGTGCATGCAGCAAAGGACGTGCCTTAAAGTCAATGTAGCCTTTGTTTTGGTCTTCTTGGGATGGAAGATGCAATGAAAGTACAATTACTTAATCTAAATCCAGCACAGCTGTGGATAAAAATAACCTTAAACCCACCTTCCTTGCGTATGAGATACAAACTAGCTTAGGGCAGAGGACAGTTTGAAGCATTGTTAAGCAGAAAAAAAATATATTCATCATGTAATCCTTGTTTTTTAAAATAGCTTTATTTGTCAGAGTCTGTTAGAAACCGGACCTTCACAAAGGCTGCCCCCTCCGTGTGGGAGCTTCCCTCCTTGCGTGCCCCAAGCAGGAGCTCAGGAAGAGTTTAAGCTGACCCCCAGATGTCTCTCTTGCTCTCTGCTGCCAGGGATCTTTGGGCAGCGCCTGGAGGACACGGTGCAGCACGAGAGGAAGTATGGCCAGCGCCTGGCCCCGCTGCTGGTGGAGCAGTGCGTGGATTTTATTCGGGAGCGAGGGCTCACGGAGGAGGGGCTCTTTCGGATGCCTGGACAAGCCAACCTTGTCAAAGATCTGCAGGATTCTTTTGACTGTGGGGAGAAACCCCTGTTTGACAGGTGAGTTGACATCACCAAATTCAGGCTGGTGTATGAGTGACATGTAAAATCTGCCAGGACTCTCCATGCGCTGGCAATCCTAGCTTACATGCTCTTTCCACACCATCATTCTCTCTGTTGAAAACACTGAGGGAGCTTTCTCCTGCACGGTGGTGGGTGTGGAGGCCTTTATTCAGCTCACAGTGGTAGAGCAGAGCTCATTGGTCTGTGTGGGGCTCCCCCAGTGTTTCAGCTTAAGCACATGTTGAATGAAAAGCTTTGCTAGATTTGGGTGCAGCAAACTGAACAGTTAGTGGGATCGTGTCACAGAAATGGGTGTGACAGAGGTGAACTAGGTGATGTGCTGCTTTCAGATGTTGCATTCTCCCAGCAGATCTGCCTGGAGCAATATCTTGACTCTTCCTTTGTCACCAGGTTTCAGAATACTCACCACCATCTGACATGTTTTACCTGGATGTTATGCCAGCAGCTGTTTTGTAGATGCTCAGCTTAATATTGGTTCCCATGGGAGGAGTGTCAGCCCTGTCTCTGAGCGCTCCATCCAAGGGCAGTAAGGGAAGGGCAGCTCTCAGCTGTCTCTACACTGGCCCTCAGGCAGTCAGATGATCAGAGAGATGAATGCTGTCAAGGCCTTCCAGCCAAAAGCTGTCCTTACCCTCTAACAAACATTTCATCCACTCTGTCATACGTACATCCTGCCTGGAGTGAAGGTCAGCATTGTGCAAAGCTTAATAGTCCCTTTGTGAAACAGGGCTTGGCCCTAACAGAGACTTCAACTTCAGGGATATTTGGATCCAAGGGCCTTATGTAGATCTGGTCTGATCTCTATCACAGGTCCATAAATGTGATCACATCTGGGATCTTGTCTTGGAGGCCTAGCACCATTTCTTGCTGGTACTCACTAGCCCAGATTTTCCAGGTGATGCCACTGGTGTCTGGTGTATTACCAACACATTAACCTTGGGGGATTGCTTCCCCTGGACCTGCAGCCAGTCTCAACCTTGCCAATCCTTTCCCTTCCCTGCCTACCACTGCAGGAAGAGCTAGCACTGTCTCCTGCGTGGGCAGAAAAAGTGTTTGGTCTCATCTTGGGAAGTATATCTTCAGAGTTTATTTGGAACATTCTTCTAATTCTTCCCTTCCCTCAGCTTCCCAGACCACCCATCCTCCTTTCTTTGATTCCTAACCACAAACAGTATTTGCTCCCTAAATGGAAGTGTCAAACATTTAGAAATATTTTCATGAAAAAATAAGTTTGAAATCATCAAATTGTCTCAGTTAATCTTTTCTTAAACAAAACCTTTGTATTTTCAACTGAATGTCTGGGTGTTCTAGTTCAGAATTAGAATTATCTTAATTCAGTGCTTACACAGTGGAACAGGAGTATCTACAGAAGGAATTAATTAGGAGTGAAAGTTTCAATTTCAGGTTTTACATTTGCCTTATCTAACTTCATTGTTATGTAGATAAATCAAGCCTCCACCCAGCGTTTTTAAAGCAAAATACAATTGTACAATGGTTTGGATTGGAAGGGATCCTGAAGTTCATCTCCTTCAAGCCCCTTGCCATGGGCAGGGATACCTTCCACTAGATCACTTGCTCAGAGCCCATTCAACCTGGCTTTGAACACTTCCAGGGATGAGGCATCCACAGCAACCTCTTCCAGTGCCTTACCCCAGCTCAGGTGCAGAAAGCACCTTTATTTCCACAGGTATTTGCACTGGCTAAATAGATCAGTGCTAAGTCTCCCCTTTAAGAGAGGAACCAAGGCCCTCCAGGAAGGAATTCCTGCCCTTTGGGTAGTCAGTGTGTAATGCAGCAACGAAGAGTTCAGTGCAGAATCAAAGGAAGCAAGCCTGGAGTCCCCAACTAGAGGAAAATTGTGGGTGTCCCAGTTGTTGCCTTTTGCTCTTGCCACCATGTCCCCATACAGTCTGTCTTATGCATCTGTAGTCACAGACAGCAGTAAGGGAGAGGCAGTGCCACTCTGGATAAATGAAATGCTTCTCCTCCTAGCAACCATAATTCTCTCTGTGTGTAACTATAACTTATCTCTGTATGGCCTGGGATACCTTGGCAGCAGAAGTGTGAAATCCTTATGCTTCTTTCCAACTCAGGTGCAGTGAAAGGAATATCCTTTCTTATTTCCCAGCTGCAGTCAGTGCTTTTAGACCCCTTTTGTAACTACAGTGGTATCCCAGGTGTTTATAGCCTGCCTGCCCCATGATGGATCATACCTTTGTGATGACTGACAATTAAAATATGTATTTTTAAAAGGCTTTCTTTTTCAATGTTCTTATGAAGGCCAGGTGTTGCTGTTTTGGAAGCACCTATAGCAGTCTGCTCCTGTTGCACTTTAATGCAGTGAAAGTCTGGCTGTATTTCATAGGGCATCATGGATGAAACAGTTCCTGCAGCCAGTAGCCCTGAAGCTCTGTTCTGGGCTCTGCTTCTCAGTAACAGTCAGATCCACCATCCATAACTGAAACTCCACATTAAAGGAAAAAAAAAAGAATAAGGGTACCGATCTCATTTGTAAAACACTAGAAGCAACTGAAGAAAATCACTGTGTGAAACTCTGATATTCTTAAATATGATGGAGCTGTTAAATCGAATAGCATTAGCAGGATTAGGAGTGAGTGGTATCTGCTGACAGTTTCCTGTTGTAGTTTTTCCTGTTTTCTTTTAGCTGTGTGTTCCAAAAAAGAAACATACTAAATAGAAGAGATTCAGCTTTTGGAGAGAAGAGAGGATTTGAAGCTCTCTTGCCCAATGTTCACTGATATATTTTTCTCGGAATTCTTTCAAGACACCGGGTGGGTAGGGAGGAGCTAGTGACAGAATCTGTTTAGAATTCCAACAGTCAAAACCTTTGAGGAGGTCATCTGCAATGAGTAACAGTGTTGTACCACAGGAAAATTGGAATGAGGGAGAGATACCACAATATACCAGAAGATGGGTAGCTGGAAAGCGTTCATCATGGGATCTGACACCTCAACCCCAATTTTAAAGCAAAAAAGAAAGAAGAGGAAAAAGAAGTTCCTGGATTGAGAGAGAAAATAAAAGTTGATATCCTATCATAACAGATGGGCAAGGAAATTGCAGATACCACCAGCCAGGCAGCCGTACCCAAAGGCAATAGAGGACCTGGGGGAAATACAGCTTCCTCCATTTTATCTGAATGATTGACCAGGGCACGTGGGAGCCCAGCCCATCAGCTGTACGAGTGTGCTGGCTGGGGAGAGTATCAGCAAGGATCAGTGAGAGGCTCAGATGTTGTGTTTCACGGAGCAGGGATGCATCTGTTCTCAGTGCTGTGTGATCACTGTGCACTTGTCCAGACTATTCCTCACATTCCTGCTGCACACTAGCAGAGGAACCACAGTGTCACTCTACCTTAAGCAGTATCATGGGCATATCCCTTCCACTGCCTGTGTTACCTGAGGTGCATTTCTATCTTGACAGAGGGGAGATTTCCCTTGTCCCAGGCAGACCTTCCTGCCTAGTACCAATGACTGGCAGAAGAGCTTCCTTTCCATGTGCCTACTTTGTCTTGAGGGGCCTTGATGCACCCCCAACAAATGACATCAAGCTTTGAGGTAGTGTGGGTTTCTAAATTTCCTTCCCTCTTCTCTATTGCAGCAACACAGATGTTCACACTGTGGCGTCCCTCCTGAAGCTTTACCTTCGAGAGCTGCCAGAGCCTGTCATCCCCTTTGCCAAATACGAAGACTTTCTTTCTTGTGGACAGCTACTCTCAAAAGATGAGGGAGAGGTCAGTGATCCTTCTAATCTGCCTCCTGAGAGGATGTTCCCAAGAATCAATGTAGTACAGGCTTTTTCCTCATCTCTTCAAACTTGATTTAAATTAATGAAGTCCCTGGGAACCTTTCCCTGAATTTTCCTGAAGCTGTGAATGGGGTGCTGTTATCACAGGCTGCTGCTTAAAAAAAAAAAAAGACAGTCTTGTAGCCTGGTGCTTCTCTCTTCAGAGCAAAGCTCTTGTGTAGCATAATTGGCAAGAGATACAAGGTAGGAGAAAATCTGGCTTCCTTTCCCAGCTTTGCTGTTCACTCACTAATAAGCTGTATGGAGTCACTCCCTTTGTCTGTGTTTTCCATTTTATATATCAGAACAGTATATTCTCCTTCCCAAAGATTTTGGTGGATGAGACATTGATCAGTGCAATGGTCTTTGTATTTCTTAGAGGAAAGGCACTATGAGAAGGCAGGCTATGATATTATCCTAGAATGGGGGGGGAAAGCTATGAATACTTTGCCAGAACCTTCTTACGATGTTCTTCTTTGGTTTCCAGGCAAGGGGAAGGGCTCACAAAAACTACCAAGTCTGTGGCAGTCATGGAACAGGATCGTTTACAATATGTTTGGCTGATCTGTTTCATCCATATTGTGGTGCTCCCTTAGCCCATTGCAGACTGCAAAGGCACGTTAGATGTGGTCTGATGTGGGTGCCACCTTCTGGGACAGAAACTTAAAGAGGCTGTTACTTGTTTCTTTTCTTTGCTAAAGAAGCAAAGGCCTGAGGGCTTGTAAGTTGTGGTCCACAGTTCTGTCCCTTTTCTGTGTGTGGTCTTGTCTTTGTCTCTGGTGGAATTTGTAAAAACTGTTCCTCACTGTGTGTCTGGGGTTCACTTCCAGTTCAAGTGCCAGAAGGCTCTGTGGAGATTGCCCTTTATGATGCCCACAGGAAGATGCTTCTCTGCATGCATCAAATGTTTCATAGACGGCAATATAAGTTTTTTATGGTTAAAAGGCAAATAACACTCAAATAATGTAACCTCCAGTCAGCTGCAAGAAAGCAAATTTCTGTGCATGCATGACACAGCATGTTACCACACATGGATGTGTACTTGCATTCTGGACACAGCCGCATCAGGGTGCCAGTGCACTAGTGTTGTAATTTAGTAGGTAGAGGTGTGTGTCTACTCCCTCCAAAACTTGCTCATTTTCTGCCTTATCCTTAGTGAACTCAGGCACCTCTGCAGGGTGCTGTGTTACAGACCCCACAGCGGTTATTTCACAAGAAACTGCAGCATTTCAAAGGCAGTGGAGCTGGTTTGATTTTGGTCGTAAGATGTGCAGACTGGGAAGTTTTGGATCCATTAAGCACTATTGCACAAGAATAGAGACACTGCCAAATTGGGCAAACATAATTGTACATCACTGCTCAGCTTATTAGCTATGTTGTTTGCCTGATTTTGTCTGCACAGGCTGCAGCAGTTTGGGAAGCAACATCTGCATGAGCAAGGTCAGACTCAAATGACTTGTGGGGCAGAATTCTCTTTAGATTAGAAAGGCAATGAGGAGCACTAGGTAGCCAAAATGAGCACTTACAAAATACAGCACTGCTCTTAGCACAGAGTTGTTTTGTTAAGGTGCTGTTGTAAACATGAGCAATTTTGGTTTTGTCAGGGAAACCTGGAACCTGAACGTGGGCTGTTTACCTTTCCAGAAAGGAAGGTGGAGTGCACACAGCAGGGGTGGAGAGGCTGTACGTGCACAGTAGCACGTGGAGCAGGATGCAGCACAAAGTCATACCTAGCCTATGGGGCCTGACTCGCCTCCCACATGGAAAATCCCCCTGCTCAGAAACATGGTTTCATCGAAACCATGATTTTTAACACGTAATGGTAAGCAGGGAATTTAAAAATCAAATGTTTTGGTTTGTAAAGGTATTTTGAAACAAATATAATTGTACTGGTTTAATTTAAAGTACTGGTTTTTTAAAATTTTTTCACTTGAAAGTTTTGAATGAGAGTTTTGGACTCAGTGTAATTTTTGTTTTGTATGGCCACTCTCACCTCACACCCAAAAAACCAGAATTGCCTATGGCAAAATAGCCTTTCAGATGAATTTGTGGGACCTCATGCTGCTATACTGGGACTGTGGATAAGAATTATTGTGGTGATTATTAGCCTAGATCCAGTACTGCCCAAAGTTTTTATTCAAATTGCTTTTCATCTTTATTCTGCACCTAGCTGATCTCTGGTGTTTGAATGCAAAAGGGCTGTAACAGAGACCTTGGGTGGTGCTGAGGTCTCCAGGTATTTCAGCAGGACTGGAGCATAAGAAAAGATTTGATTCTGATCCAAACTGATTGGGAGGAGGGTTTAAAAATTTAGAGCAAGAGGGATCTTCAAAAGCCTAAAAACTCATTTGAGTCTGAGCTGCCTTTACATGGTGGTATTTTAGCCTTCACTGCTGCCTGTACACTAGAGATGTACACAGCAGTTCAGTGGATTGAACACAGGTATTCAAGTCTTTTTTTCAAGAGGCATCTGAATTTTTTTATGAACATTTAAAGTGTTACTAGTTTTCCAGCCAAACTAGAAGCTCTGAATTGGTGCTGATCTGTTACACACATTGCAAAATCCTTGGGTTTGGGATCCTTCATTGAAAAGCAGCATTTTCAAGGAGGTAAGAGTTATTACTGCAAAATCCCATGATAAATAACAGTACGGTGCTTCTGTTGCTAGCTGGGCTGCAGACACTGGCAATGATCAGTGCTGTTTGTTACTACAGGAGTTTCGAGTTTGTGTTTTCCTCTGGGCTGTCACTGTGGTGTTCCTAGGCTGAGCCTCTGCCTTCTGTAGGTCAGGCCTTGGTAAGGACAGATCTGGCAGAGCTGCTCTAGGAGAACTTTTTTTACCTGTCAGGTGTTTGTGCTTCAATGAATATAAAGATGGTCTCTGTGTAATACCGTGCCTGAGATTCCTTGTGACAAAGCATGGATTGTAAATTCTTAAATCCCTTTTTTCTTTCAAGTAGCATCTTTTACCTTTAGGTCATGTTTCCTGCTGTGCACAGCTGCCTAACTTTCTGTTCCAAAGTTTTCTCTTACATCCAGCAGAGCCAATGGCATTTTAATTCTGAGCACTTGAAACGCAGTGCCAAATACCATCCTGATTTCCCTATTTGAAATAAATTGGGTTACAGAGCAAAATTCAAGAGGGAATTAGGTCTGTTAGCTCACCTCGTTCTGGTTCAAACTTGTCACTTGAAAGTTGATTGACTTGAACAACTGACCTTAACCTTCACATCAGGAGCAGCTGTCTTTGGCTGAAAACTTTTTAGAAGTTGAAAAAAGAGGATTGAGATTTTCAGAAGAGACTGGCCTTTTAATGGTGTCTCCATTGCTGTCACCATTAAACAAGCATAGTGTTTAAGCTAAGGAATTATAAAGTGGTTACTGCTTTTAAGAATTTTAAGTTTCAGGTTTTTATTAGAGAACATTTTTTTTGTGCTGGGATGTACAGAATAAAAAAGTACCTGTATATTTAAGGTAATAAGGAGGAAGGCAGGACTAGGCACTGCTCTATGGTTCCTTCTGACTTGTCTGGACTGGAGAAAACAGAAATACAACGAATTGCAAGAGTGGCCAATAGAATTCCCTTCCTAACAGTCCTTAAAAATTCAAGGAGTGTTTGAAATGAATGTTCAGCTGCACTTTTTTGGAGCCATCTCCTTCTGGAACTTCTCCATCATTAGTTTGCAGCTATCACTCTTCCTTAAATGAGCTTTGGTATCTGTTTTTCCACAAAAGGTTTCATTGTTTCCAAAAATAAGCAAAGCTCCAGGGCAACAGCAGCATTGACAGGAACAAGCAAATGATACTTGGGATTGTGGCAGGACAATAACCTCCTGAGTCAGACGTTTTCATTAGATGATTTAGGTAGCTTCGGGGGTTTAAGTCATTCCTTCAGCTGATGTGTCATCTTACATTTTAATGAGAAGACAGAAATTTTGTGAGGAAGTATGTCCAGGTCAGAATGGCTGCAAATGGAAGTACGTCATTAAAAAGGAGGCAGCTGAATTGGACTCATTTACTTTTTTCAAGAAAAAACCTTCCTCTGCTCAACTGAGCATTACTGCAATGTATTTATACTGCACTCATAGGCAAAGGCACATCTGCTGATACCAATGCCAGTGGGCAGGTTTTAAAGGCTGGCAGGCCTCACTAAATGAAGACTTCTATGTCAGCCATTAAAGTTTACAGAAGGATTTCCACGGAGAACTGGATAGAATTCTGGACATTGGGTTTTTGGTAAGGCACAAAACACTGGATACCACCTCTTCTAAAGGAAAGCCTTTGGGTTACCATCGGTTGTTCAGCATTTGTGAAAAAGGCTTTTCAGGCTGTAAAAAGAGGACTCTGTAGTCCTAAAGGAAGGTCATGTCTGCTTTGCAGCATTTACATTAATAGCTCTGCTTCTTGTTTTTCCTGTCCCTCAGGGTACCCAGGAACTGGTTAAACAGGTGAAGAATTTGCCCCAAGCCAACTACAACCTCCTCAAATACATATGCAAGTAAGTGAAATTAATTAACACTTGGAAAAGTCTCTAAGTTTTGTGAGGCTGTCTTATATGCAAATAATATACTCTGAAAGTATGAATATTCAAAAACCACTTAAGTGTAAGTTACAACTCCTTTAAAAAATGTGGAGGTGGATGCAGCTTGCCTGAAGGAAGCTTTTGGTTTATCCAAGAGGATCAGCCAAGCAAATTGCTGCCACCTGCAGCCTTGGCAGCAGGCATGAATGATACTAATACACTATATTGTTTATTTCAGAAGCACCTACAGATCACTAAAGGTAGACACTTATTCCAGATACTGCACACTTGGAAGATTTATGACACAAGCTGAGTAGCAGATGCAGTCAGAATAGCCAGTCTGGCATTTGCTCTAGTTTGGAAGTGAGGTTAGTAGTGGCTTCCTCTTGGATTGCCAGGGACCCCACAGCCTTGTCTCCTTTCATCTCTGCTGATTTTCCCAGTGTTTGGGCTGCCTCTTTATCTGGGTATTGGAAGGAGATGATTTTTGAAGGCTATTTACAATTCCAACCATTCTATGGTTCTGTGATCTGCATTTTGTTAGATTCAAGCCAACCCACAAAGCTATTTCCACAGGCTGCTAATTCTTGGACAAGGAGATGACTTATTACTTCTGTTATATCTGTAAGTGAAAATTCCCCAATGTCAATCCATGTAAATTGAGGATTCATGTAAAAAATGCAAAAATCTGTCCTTTCAGACCCAGTAGTAGGTTGGGTCACTGCTAGGTGAGTACTTCTGGCAGAAAACATCCTGTCTTCTCTGGTTTATACACTGGAAGGGATCTGGGATTACACTGAATATCTAAGCTACGGTAGTTCCTCAAATCATTTCAGGTGTCAGGGTTGTATGAAAACAGGACAAAACTGAATGCTCATAGTCTGAGAAGTGACTTACTCATGAATTTCCTCCTCCTTTGATTTTTCTGGGGTGGTTTTTCAAGGTTCCTTGATGAAGTTCAGGCTCATTCCAGCATTAACAAGATGAGTGTCCAGAACCTGGCTACAGTATTTGGACCAAACATACTGCGGCCCAAAATGGAGGATCCAGTGACCATGATGGAAGGTAGGTGCTGTTGTGGCACAGCAGCTGTATTTTGGAGCTGTAAGTGAAAGGCATACATTCCTTGGTAGCTGTATCAGTTTCCTGCACAGTCAGAGCAAGTCAAGCCATCCCTTTCATCAGGGAACCCCTCTTTTTGAACCTACTGCTAAAATGAAAGCTCAGCTGTGCCACTGTGGCTACAACTAGAACTGTCTTAGAAGTGTTGTCTTCTAAGTAGACTGTATGGATCAAAACTTCACAAAAATCAAAAATAAGAGTTGAAAATCAGTTAATTTTGGATGTAAAAAATCTGAAGCTTTAAAATTATTTGCTTCCATATGAATCAGGCAGGCTGACCTTAGGGCTGGGATACAGCTCTTCTCCCACGTGGCGCTGAAACACAACTACTGTGGTGCAAGTTTTAGCAAGGTTTTTGCATAAAGTTTTGTAGGATTTTGGCAAGCCTGCAAAAAGAATTGATTAATTAATTAGGCACAGATGGAGATGCTGTGCCCAGGATGCCTGAACTTGGCTCTGTTTCTGCTCCCTAGCTGTAGGGGACAGCTGACATGGTATTTTTTGTGATGCAAATCCTTCGCAGAAGGTCAGTGTTGTCATGCCTTAGCAGCAGCAGTGCCTTGAGCTCTTCACAGGTCGTGTGCAGATGTGTCTCCCACCATGGCAACTCTCTGTAAGGCAGCAGGACAGCTTCAGAGCATGACCTGATGAATTATAGTAGTTTAGAGACTCAAAGCCTACCACAGAGATGTGGGCCGTATTATTAAGGGTAAATTTGACACCTTCCCCTGGCTGTGCAGAAGGCACGAAAGTCGGGGAGGAGCAGGGAGTGCGGGAGCAGTGCTTGTTAGCCGCTGCTGAAGGTGGGGACAGCGTGAGCAGCCCGTGTGCGATGCTGGCACCTCCCCTAGTGGCCGCCGGGCCGGAGCGCTGCCAGCCTTGGCCAGCAGCGTGCTCTCTGCTCAGCCGGCACAGGGAGCGCCTTTGGGTTCAGACCAGCTCGGGCATTTCGTTCTGCAGCTCCTCCGACGGCAGAGCTGCCCGTACTGTGTGTAGGTGCACTCGTGCAGGTGCTGGGCTCTCTCCTCATCACCCTGCAAAAACGCTACAGTGATCTGACCTGGAATTCTGTATTGCCACAGGTCTGAACTGTCAAAAAAAATTGGGATATGTAGGCTGGATTTTTAGACTTAATCATTATACTCATAACAGGATTGACAATGTTTTGTTTTAGTTGAGAATTTAGTTGAGGTTGGTTAGATAAAAGTAACAGAGTAGTGGAAAGACTAATTTTTTTTTTTTTAGCTTCAGGGTAGTTTGAATCTCCTAAATAAACTGATAATGAGATTTTAACAAAGAGCACTCTGATTGTGTCTCCCTTCAAATTTAACCCATGCATTTCAAATAGAAATACCTGAAGTTTGTTAGGAATGCCCTTATATTCAAGACATTTAGTTTTCTTCCTGCATTCACAGACATAAAATAGAAGTGGTAGGTGAGCTAAGTACATCTTGTTATTAGGTCAAAAATTCATCAATAAAATCAGGCTCTTGCCTTGAACCCTGAGTATGTTTGCCTTATTCTCTTTCAGGCAATACGTAAAAATAGAATTCCTTAATCATCCTTCTAAAGCCTTTCCTCTTTAGTAGGAAGCGCTTTGTATTAGGTTTGGTAAGTGGTGTTCTCTACTGGTTCATAATGGTCTGTTGCACTCCTGGAAGACAGTGGCAGCACATTTCTGTGGATATAAATAACTGCGAGCACTTTCCTTGCTGTACACCCTCTGCAAGTGCATGTGTAATGCAGATGTCATACTTCCTGCAAGTTTCTCTAGACACTGAGTGCAGCAGAAGGCCTGAGCTGAAATTTGTAGTTTTTCAATAAGAATAGTTTTGGGCTGCTCAGACCAAGCAACTGGGTGCAGCCTAGTCATGCCAACAGGCTGGGGTGAGTCGCAGAGGTCTTTTATGTCTCCTCACCTGCTTGTCTTTGTTCTCCATCCACAGGCACCTCTCTAGTTCAGCACCTGATGACAGTATTGATAAGTGAGCAGGGGAGGATCTTTGCTGTTCCTCAGGCGGATGTGCCAGGGAGCCAGCTGGAAATCAGACCGATGCGCCAGCGCAGCACTGTGGAGTGGATCTCCGAGGAGGACGGGGAGGACAGCAGGTCACAGAACAGCGCTGCCAGCCCCACTGATTTGCCTTCTGGCAATGCTGTGGCTCTAGAGGCCACTCCAGGACCTGCAGTGAAAATCACTCCTCCAGAACACAATGGCAAATCAACTCAGCCTGCCACGAGCCCCAGTAAAAGAGTGCAGACGCTGCCTCCATGGAAATATTCCTTCCGCCAGCAGGGAGCACGGTCTGTGAGTCCAAAGCTGGGCAGCTCCTCCTTAGACATCCCCAACCTCTCCTCCAGTGGGAACTGGTTGATGAACGGCCTGTACTCCCTCCGAGGCCATCGCCGGACAGCCTCCGGGGAACGAGTGAAAGACTCGTGCTCCTCCCAGAGACTCTCCACTTATGACAATGTCCCTTCATCCAGCCTGTCCCTCAGCACACACAGCATGGCCAGCACCACCTGGTCTACATCATCCTGTGAGATCTCCGTGATGGACTCAGTGAGCAGCTGCCCAGCCTGCCGGGCCAGTGACTCTTCTGCTTTGAGCTCCCTAAAAACTGAGTGGGTAACTCAGGGCTCGCTGTCCCAGAGCGAGGTCAAGACTGCAGATCTGGAGAACAGCATGGACAGGTTTGAAGCCTGCAGCAGCAGCAGCAGTGAACAGAGTGACCCGGCTGCAGCTTCCCGAGACTCTGTCCAATGCTCCAGGGCCTTACAGAGCTTGGTGGTGGAGCTAAAGACAGAGCTGAGCAAACAGAGGACTGAGTATGAAACTAGTATCAAAAGGTAATGTCATCTGCAGGGGGCACAAGGAAGTCATCTGTCAACATTCTCCCCTGTCTGAACATGAGTGTGGGCTGTCAAGGGTACCAGGTTCTCAGCCCTGAAGTTTGGGGTTGAGGGACAGCAGATTTTTTTCTATATTTTCCTTGCTACTCTCTGAATCGAACTTTTGTTTCTTTGATTTAAGAGAGCATCAAAAAGAAAACAAAGGGGATTTCTGTGACACAGGGAAATCCAATACTTCATATTCTCTATGTTCACTGTAAATGAGAACTGCACAGGTAACGCTAAAATCTGCTCTTAGTGTCCTCAGAGAAATAGCAAAGTGAACATCTTGTAGGGAGGAATTGGGACCCAGGATGGTCAGGCATCAACAAGGATGATCTGTGCAGGTGCTGATATTTGTACCAGACCAGTCTGAAGCTGAGGGCTTCTTGTTCTTTTCCCAACCCCAGCATTCTTGAGGAAACTGCTCTTAAGTATTTTCCACAGGTTTTTTTGGGGTGGTGGTGTTGGGACTGTATCTCAGCTATAATGTTTTCAACAGCCCTTTTTTGTTGAACTTCTATAAACCTCACTTTTGGTATCTGATGTAGAAGAGTGGTCCTTGGCTGATGGGGCAGCCTAGCTTGGAGGAGCAGCATGAACTGTGTCATTTGCCAGCTGGTGTTTCCTTGCACAACTGCTGGTGCTGTACTTTCCCTCTGAGCTCAGAAAAATTCCTTTCAGCTTTCAGGAGAGTTGTGTGTAGGGCTGGGGCTGTAGGAAGTATTAATAACAAGGGAGTTGATAATTTGTGTGAGTATATTAGGTTTTATGAGTGTATGTGATAATAGAAAGACTTTTAGGAAAGCATTCAGGGGAAATAGGCACATGAAATTTTGATGTTTAAAAGAATTAGATATATTTTAATATACAGCCATGTGCAAAATTGCACACCTTATTGTAAAACATGCTGCTCTGCAGTACCAGTGCTCTGCACTGAAGAAGGACTGTAGTCCCATTTCTTAGAAAGAGTTGAGTTCTCAGGGTTTGGGGGTTTCTTTGTGTTAAGGTGTTACTGTTATACTCCTTCAATTATTAAAACTCAGATTGGAAATTGAGGTATGAAAATGCTGCCAGTCTCCCAAACATGGTACCAAAAGCACGTAAGACTGTTGGCATTGTATAGCACAGCTTTAGGCTGCGTTTTTTAGCACTTTTTTCTTGTTAAGGTAGTTTTTTAAAAATGTATCTGAACTGTGATCTCTTCCCATGGGCCAGTTGTTAAGGTAGGAATTCCTCTTGCTATCTTCCTGCTTTATTTTATGGTTTCCTCTGGTGGTAGCTTGCCAGCCTCTTCTGCCTCTTGCACTGTGCTGCCTTGGTGTGTGGAGCTGGAAGGAGAATCAGGCTGTGCAGCAGTTCCAGTCCCCACCTAACATCCCCGAGTGGGAGAAAAGCCCCACCTTGATGTGTTCAAGGTGTAAGCGCTTATGAAACACCAGCAGTTGCTAGCATGGGATGTTGGGAAGGGTCTGTGAATGAGGGTGGAAGTTCATGACTTACATGGTTTGGTTTTTTAATGCCCTACTGATACAGGATGGGAGGGAGATGAGGGTATGTGCCTTACATTTAATTGTGCAGAGCTGCCCTGGCAAGCCTTGTTGCAGGGATACAAGTTAAAAAACAGAAACACCAGGCTGCAGAACCTGGAAATGTGTAGCTGCACATTCTTGCCTGCTGCCTGGGGGAAGAGATGGTTTTCCACCTTTCATCAGTAAAACTGTTCCAATGGGCCCTAAGCTGCTGCTATCAGGAGCATCCAGGAAGACCTGTTCTCCATTCCAGCTGTTGAGCTGCTTCAGCTCCAACACCTGCCTTTCCCCTGCAGCTGGACAGGACTGAGAGCACTGTGGCTCGAGGGGAGAACTCTTAAATTGGTCAGGTCTCACAGGGCAAAGTAGCTGAGAGGAAAATGCGTAATGAACTAAAGAGTTTCATAAAACCAGGCAAGGTGCAATCGCTGCCTTTTTGTATTAAACAGGATGACTCCAGCTGTTTGGGCTTAGAGCCTGAAGGACTGTGCTGTCAAGTCTAAGAATTTCAAGCCAAGTTTTTTGGCTCTCAAACATTTTGCAGTGTTTTTACTACCTCTTCAGCAATTCATAGGTGCAAAAGTATGTTCCTTTTCTGACTGCATGGAAATCTGCTACTATAGAAAGACAGGAGCTAACTAGCAAAGGGGGAGGCTGCTTAGCACAAAAGATTTAGGCTGCCTCACCAGCTTTATTTTATTGAAGATATTTTACCCCTGAAATTGTACGTGTACTTGTGTGGTTTGCAGAACTGTGTGTATCTAGCAAGACATGTTTTAATGAAAGAATATGAGCTTTTTTCTTGGCACGTACATAAGTGAAGGAAAAGCAGAGTGAGTACCTGCCTGGGGCAGAGGTAAGGAACACTTGCTGATGGAAAAGCTGTTATTTCTCATCAACGGCCCATTTTCTCTCTCTTAGTCAGAGGAAGGCAAGTTTTATGGCCTTCCTGTAACCACTCTGTTCCCAAGCATTTCTCCCTCAAGGTTAATCTAATTACCAGACATTCTCTGTTGAGTTTCAGTAATTCATGTTTACCATCTGGTACTCTTAAGAAAGTGTAAGTATTTGGAGAGGACTGTTATGAACATAGAAATGCTGTGAGTACTGTGACTCTGAGTAATTCAGTCCAGAATTAGCAGTTCAGGCTGCTGTAGTTGACCCCTAAACTTAATGGCAGAAAATGTAATTGGCAGCTCAGAGCTGTTACGTGTGTGGGGGGAAGCATCCCAGCTTCACAAGTGTCATATTCCAGCTGACACTGGCTGGATATAAAGGTTGCCTTCATCCACAGGGGCTGCTTTTTGCTGGAGTTGGTGCAGGTCAGTGCACCTGTGACTTTGCTTCATTGTGAAAACTGTGACAATAATCAAACTGCCATCTTTAGCTGTATGTAAAGGAACAGAAAGGAAAAGTTTAAAGTGATGCATTGCCTCTTGGTCATGAAGTGGAATTCAGACCTTTCTGGGACTGCCCAAGGCCCTCCTTTTTTTTTTTTTTTTTTTTTTTGGTTTTTGTTTTTGTTTGTTTTGTTATGAGGCAGTAGTGTGGCCTTCTTGATAATCAGTTACCCTGACTAAAAATAACCCATTCACAGTTCCACTGGGATGCCACATCCCAGCTTCAAAGCTGAGTATTGGACTGATGAAGGAGAGGTGGGGGTGGTTTTGTGTTGGAATTTTAAAAGGTTCTTCATTTTATTTAAACAAGGGGCATCTTTCATTGTAAAAGTCTCATTTTAAAATTCATATTCTAGTAATGACTAATTCCTATCTGGGAATATTCCTTCCTCAGTATTAACACCACTACTTCTGGGAAACACAAGGGGGAGAACAGCCAGTGCTGTGTTTCTTTGAGATCACAAAACCATGAACTTTGTTCTTTGACCTTCTGAGTGAAAAGCTCTGAATTTTGCTACAGAACTTTGTGCCCAGATACATTTACGAACTGTTCTTCTGATTCTTCCTCATATGAAACACTGGGTTTCATAAAATCTCCCATCAAATAGCTGGTGAGGAAGGACTGTGACCTCATTCCTATCTGATCCCTAAGGATGTTCCTCTGTACTGGATATTCATATAGGGAAACACAGTATCCCTATATGGATAAAGGTTATTGTGAAATTATATATACTTGAACTGTGCCTAAGTGAGGAGCTAAGGAGTTAATGAATCTCCTTAGGCAGGCAGTCTGATGCTGGAAAGTAAGCATTGTTTTCTAAGATTTGAGCATTTTTCTCAGGATGCAAATAAAGGAAGCTCTGCCCTAAACTGAACAGCAATGAAATAGCATTTAGTTCTCTCCTTTAAAACTTCCTCTTAGAATATGCTAAATTTAAGTTGTTCCTCTTAAGAGTCTTTATAGTTATCAGCTGTATTTATACAGTCACTTTAAAAAGCCTTTTTTTTTTTTCCCCTCTCGCTTGGTTTTAAGAATTGAAGAAACAAGTGCAGACCTGAGGAACCAAGTGGTTAGGTTAGAAGAAGAACTGGACCAAGAACGAAAGAAATACACGATGCTGGAAATAAAGCTGAGGAATTCTGAACGCGCTCGTGAAGATGCTGAGAAGAGAAATTACCTCCTGCAGAAGGAAATGGAAGAATTTTTTTCAACATTAGGGTGTTTAACTGTTGGGAGTCAAAGCGCTAAAGTCCCCAAGTAGTACAAGTATAGAAAATCCTGTTCCTGACAAAATGAGTGAAAATGCATATTTTGTTCTGGTGTACTCATGTATCATGAGTAATTCTATAGTGATTGTGCTCTCAGTGACACTTGCCCTGTTGTCTTTACATGTGCTACAGTATTTGGGCCAGCTGGGAAAGACTGGTGACCATAAAGCTTGAAAATGTACTGTCAGATTGCCCAGAAAAAGTGAGTCCCCTCTGTATCCACAGAACAATAAGATACTCTTCTCCAGAGTGTCCTACTGCCATCCTTGGACTCAGCTGCACCCTCCTGTTGCTGGTGAAGGAGAGTGGAAGGTCCTGAAGCCTGGGTGGATGGCCAGAACCAACAGACAAGCTGAGCCTGGAGCTGAAGGATTCCTGCTCTTGTGCTTGAGAAGGTGGCATTCCAGCCTGTCACCACAGCCAGAACGTTTGCCAGAAAAATTTAAAGAGGTGGTTTTCACCCCACTTCCTCCATAAAGTTTGTTCAAATTTCTCATTCCTAAAGTGGTATTATTTTACAAAGATATTGTGAAAAAAAGTTTGCAAACATGCTGAAGATACCAAAATCCTGACAATTCACTAAAATTGTCCCTTACCTGCCCAATGGTTTCAGTGTTTCACAAAAATGCAGCTTTACATTAAACTGTGATTAATAATCAGATTGGCTACACACACTCTGTGGAACTTTAAATATGCACATTTTGCCTTAGGTATCTGAAGGTTTTCTGAGCCAAAAGTAGAGCAGTATTAGCTGCAAGAAAAAAAAATCTCCTGAGTCGATATGTATATTAAGGCAGAAGATGGAAGATTGTTATCATCAAAACACATCCAAACTTTAATAGCAAAACTTATGGTAAGAGGAATTAGTGCAATTGGGGTGGGGGTTGTCAGGGTGGTAAAGGGGGGAGGGTAGGGATCTATCCTTAACCTTTCCTGCACAATGTACACTTACCTCCCTTGTAACATTTCTCATTACACCAGCTGATATTTTTGTTGTTAGTTCTTACAGGGATATGAGGGGACAGGAAGAACACTGCAAACAACCCATCATCCCAAGTTCCTTACTTCTGCTAAGGACAAATCATTAGAATGAAGCTGTAAGTTCTGGTAATTTGCTGCTGGGGCTGACTTCCCTTCCAAGTGATTTCAAGAAGTTCTGCATAGCATGTGTAACACCCTGAGCCATGCAGAGCCTGCACACAGAAAATTGTTTCACCAGATTCAGCTTGAATTTCACCTGCGAGCCCAGAATCCATTCACTTTGTCTTGGCACTCTGTCTTTGACATCCTGAGGTAGCTTGGGAGTCTCTAAGGAGAAAGAATTCTAACAAAAAGTGCTACAACAACATGAACTGGCTAAAAGGAAAGTATAGACTGTAACAAAGAAGATGCTTTATTTTAAGTATTTTGAAAAAGTGCCCTGAATCTCATTTCTTACTAGAGAAGACTATGACTCACTGTCTGGAAAAAACCTTAGAATGGGTGTTTTTCATACCAGGAGATAGTATATCTTTCAGTATTGACTTTCTCCTCATGATCTCACAGATATCCAGATATTTCAATATTTAAAACATCTAGCTGTTAACTTGTTTCTACTGCACTGTAACACTTCTCCTTCTTATAGAAATGTAAAAAATGTAAACCATTTAAAGTGAGCAAAAAGCAGAATTTTAACCTAATTTTTCCTGGATAAGAAATGTCAAGCAAGTAAGTCATGTGGATTGGTTCATTCAGTTATTTCAAAACCTTTTTCCTACTTCCCAGGCTCTCCAGCTGCCCTGGATTCCTTGCTGCCCCGGCATGAGGCAGGTACCTGCATGTTCAGCAGCAGCTGCCTGCCACCTGCAGGTGTGAGCATCACCCCCATCTCTTTTTTTCCCATCTCTGCCTAGAATTCATGACCAGCGGTCACAAGTTATCCTTTAGGGAATAACAAGGCCATTTAAAACGGCAGCATCAGATGCATAATGTGAGAGAGAAGCAGTAACAGTGACTGAGCTGGAAGAGCAAGCAGTGTGGCAGGTAGCTGGAGGTACAAGGTCAGTCATCACAAAATAAACCTTAATATTGGAGAGTGGTCTAATGGTTGTGAGTAGAACACCAGGACTGATAGAAAGCACCATTCAATCCCAGTGCTAGTAGCAAAGAAGGTATTTTAATGTCTTCTTTTATTTCTACCCAAAACATGGAAGCCTTTCACTGTATCCATCCTGACAGCCCACACCTTCCTTACACTAGTTATATTGCATTATCTCCTGTATGTATCCAGTGCAAACTGCTCCATTTAGTTCACACCACAAACTCAAGAGAGTTAACCAGCAGCCCTGGTCACTGCTTGTCTGGTGTATCTGGTGTTTAGTCTCCCAGTCAGCAGGGCTCAGTTTTTAGGTATTTAACCTTAGGTAACTGCTAAGAAACCCACTTATCCCAAACTTGCAGATCCAGGATAGGACCATGAGATCTATAACACTACATAATGTGGTATCCAAGATAAAATTAATTTTTTTTCATATACAAAGAAACTCTATCCACTCAAAATGAGGAGTGAAACAAACCAGTTTCAGACTGGCTGTTGTGCTCCAGCAACATCTATGGTTCTTGTTCGTGAGGAATAAATTTCAGCTGCTTTGAAAGATGAGCCACTGCAGTAAATAAAGCTGGCAAGAAGCTGCAAACAACTAGTTCACACTAAAATGGACTACAGTTAACCTCAAGTGCAGCAACAGGACCATAATGCTAAATTCCTGGCATGGGCAATTATGCAAGAAACGAGATCTACTTGTACACATCTTTGAAGAACAGCTTTTTATGTGAGGAAGCATATACACCCTTTCCTACCTTTCCTCTTTCCATACTCTTCCCCACCAATGCATTTCCCCACAGCAAGCACTGGAGACTACTACTTATTTTGCAGACCTTTCACTTGTAACAGTCCCTGATTTAAATGTCAGCTTTCTTAGCAAGTGTTTGTCTGTTTATTATTAGTTAAATGTGACAGAAGGTTTCTGGAATACATTTTTACCACAGCTTCATTTGTGCCATCCTCCCAGCCTGAAATATCCCTTACAGTATTATACAAGCAAAAAAAAAACAAAAACCAAAACCAAAAACAAAAAAAAAAAAAAAACCCAACAAAACAACAAAAAACACAGTAAAAACTTTTCAGTGAAATAGAACCCCAACATATGCTTTAAAAAAAACCAAAACAGCACCACTTCAGAATAATGAAGAGAACTTTGGTAGGTCGTGGCATTTCTAACACAAAAAGGAACATGAATTAATAGGTTAATGACTCATCTACACTCACAAGAGAGTTTCACTGAACTGGTTTCCACTCTCTCCACTGAAGCAGCATTGTGGAGTGTTTCAGTCCTGAGCCACCAGACAAATCCTGGGCAGAGCAACGACTCTCTCTGGCCTTGCTGTGTAATAACACGGTCACAGGAAACTGGCTGCACTTCATGATGATATATGCAAATAAAGAAGAGCATTTCTGAGTCTCCCACCATATTCCTACAAGAGCATCCTACAAATTGGTGGCCCAGATAAACAAAGCTGGCTGCACTGTGGTCACAGTCCCTTTCCCTTGAAACTGGACACAAAGGCACCACCAGCACAGCTCAAGGGAGCTGCAGCTGTTAAGGGAGCACTGAAACCCTGCTGGAAGTGACTTATGTTGGGACTTACCTGTGGGAGAAGTGCCAGTGCAGTGGGTGGTCCAGGCATCCAAATCAGCTCTCCAGAAGTCAGATCCTTCAGGCTTCTGCCATTTTGAGAGATTGTCCCTTACTCTAGGCATCCCAAGGCTTACCTCTTTCAGCAGCACGGGCTCTCAGTAGCTGTATTTCCAGGAATTAAGGTGTCTGCAGCTGGCAGCAAGGAAGCAAGAATGGATTCCCATTGGTCACAAAGACCATGAATACTGTTAACAGCCTGTGGCACATCCAAAGTCCATGCGAATGAAGAAATGGAAAAAAAACGTCACTTTGCCCACAAGTGAGCTCACACAAAAGACAGGATAGTACCATTAAAAAACAGATGAATCCTCAAGAAGGACTCTCACTAATAAGATTTCAAGCGCAGCCCTATTATGCAATCCATATGAAATCTGTTGCAGCCTGGCAATGAAGAAACATTAAATGCATGGTGGTCAAACTTTTTTTTTTTTCTTTTTTATTTAAAATATCATTATAACCAACTGACATACTAGATAACAATGTATACATTCCAGTGGTGCACATGTAATGACCTGTGGTATGAATGAGTTAAAAAAACCCCACAATGTTCTCAGTAATGCCCACCAACAGCTTATTTGGAGGGAATAAAAGAAAAGCAGAAAAAGGTATCAAATGTGGGGAAGAAAAAAAATTAGTTTTCCCCAGTATTTTTAATGGTGTATCTTCCCCTTCGTATTTCTTGGGACATAATAAAATTAAGAATATACTTCAAGAAGGGCAGAAGGAATGATCACAATAATTGGGGTGGGATTTTTTTCTCAACTTTAGTAATAAAAGTTAAAGAACTCTCAAAAATAGACTAGATATTGGGCCTACAAAAGTAATTCATCTGTATGCAAAGCTTACCAAGAATTATTCCTTTTGTAAAATGTAAAGGATGAGCTGACATTACTAGTAAGCTATTTTTACCCTACAAAACCAGACTACAATAATAAAATCACCAATTTACAGCTAACACAATAATCTAGATGTACATTACTGTACACAGGCTATATTATATATTACACATGAACATCTTACGTGAAATAGATAAGAAATGTACTGATATTGTCTCAACATCGGCCAATAGGTTTGTTTTTCTAAAGGAGGTGTATTTTCTATTCACATTCAGTGTAGTTCCAATAGCAAGGGTTAGCTTTGCTTAAGAAACGTAGAAAGTTTGTGTGAGGTAGTTCAAGAAAACCTAGCTTAAATTTTGAACTGCAGAAATAGAAACACAACGTGATCTGATTTTTCACACATATCTGTAACACGGACATACAAAGGGAAGGGAGTGAGAGAGACCACTTAAAATATTATTATCCAGTGCCCTTAACTAAGAATAAATTAAATTAATTGAAAATTTGGGTAGGCAGTACAGTCTTATCACACTGCTTCAATAAAAACCTCTTTCTAATTCTGCTGAAAAATACAGAGAGGCTCTCCTTCAACTGCTCCAAACCACTGACAGGAAAATAAAATGTAACAGTATGGACAAGCTGCTGCCAAAAGCAAATAAAAACAGATCAAGAAACTGTAATTCACTCCCTTTAGCAACATGAAAAAGTAAGACCTAGTATAAGCTTAACCTTCTTCCCCCCTTTTGCCCATTATCTTTATCAAGCAACATTTACTATCATACTCTTCCGATTATTGGCTGGGTAGGACCATCCTCCTGTAGGAGGTTGTTGACATTTTCCTTCATGCACTGCACTGCTGAATGCTCCATCCATCCATCCATCCCTCCCTACAGAGCTGCAGCCCAGGTGCTCAGTGCTGGCCCCACCAGCCCTGGGCAGCAGGGCCCTACTGGCACAGCTTGTGCTGGGGACACAGGGCACTCCCACCACACCACTGGCGCTGATGCTATGTTCACCTGGAATTCCTGCCCAGAAAGATGCTGCTGCATCTCGCACAGTAAAAGTTCTTCAAAGCTAACAGCCCAAGCTTGGCCAGGGCACAGTGCCACGTGTGCTCAGCCGAGCACTGACCCAGGCTGAGCGTGTTCCACCAGGCAGTTGTGCTTGAGGAGCACAGCCGCTCACACACAGCTACACATCCGCTCTGCCGCACTGTCTTGCGCCAACAAAAGACTTCCCAGCACAGCACCCCAGTACACTCTAAGCGTACTAATTCCCCCCCACCCCATCTCTATTTCAATTTCTTGAACAACCTACTTCTACAGAAGGAGAGTGCTGCTTTACCCTTGCTGCATGCCACAGCTTGGCCCAGAGAAGGCAGAATTCAATCTCACTATTAATGCCCAACTTTGAATCTCACCTGAGGTAAGATAGCTCATGGTAATTCAATCCATATCAACCCCCAGTGGATTGGAATGGCCTTAGAAAGTTGCATGCACTTGAGTGAAGCCTGTTGTCTTGAGAAGATTCCAAATCAAAGTCTAAAATAAAACTTAACAATACTTTAAAATTGTACAGTGTATTGTACAGCATTTAATCTAACAACAGACAAAAACAGCTGAATTCCAGTTACCCATTTGCTTGCTATCTGTGGCAGTGTACACCTATCTGAAAAAAGCTTATATTTCAACAAATAAAAAGGGAAGTTAAGAATAGGATGCTGTTGTGATAATTTCATTACTGGATATGATTTTGTCTTTGAAATTTGTCATCACTTAATTTGCCTAAAATAAAAGCAACTGAAAAAAAGAAAAAGCAACACTCCTGTGAAGATGGTGCCAAAAGTGAACTCTTGGTTTCCACAGGCAAAGCTCTGACCCTACTGAAGCAATACCTTTAAGCACAGCTTGCTCACACACTGCAACAGGCTGCACTGGGCAGTCCCACACATTCACTAACCTTGCCTTGAAAGAAGAAAAGCTCAATTCTCCTTAGCATATATGAGCTCAGTTTAGTTACTATATATTTTGGACACTGGAAAGTGATAGCAAAAATATTTTAAAGTTTCAAAATATTTAAATCATCACTGCAATCCAGAGAGGTCTAAAATAAATTTAAATACAAACTGTATTTGCCAATTTATTTTTAACAACACTGAGAGTCATCAGAAGTTACTTTTGTCTTGACTTCATTACACTGTGCTGACCACACCATCACTTGACCCTATATAACAAAGGAGTATCTTTGTTTGAACAAAAATTTTGGCTTAATTCACAGCTTAAACTTTGATAAAAAATTACAAAATAGACTGTTCCATTGGTCTCTGTTCAACATTTTCTACATTCCAGTGCTAGATGAATCCAAACTTGTCCTGCCTGTTCTGAGGTAATATACAGTTTGGCAGGATCCTGCAAAAATAATTACCTTAACAAATGTGGCTTAGAAAGGCAATATTGCAATATCAGATATAAGCGAGGAAAGCAAAATTACACGCACACAGCACTTACCAGCAGTCTAGCCAGGCCAGGAAAACAACTGTGTAGTTTATCAATTTAGTTATCTTTCAGACATTACCATTCCTTGCAAACCTGCATGTTTTTTAAAAAGACATGTTGGACGTTACTATCACTTTTGTTTTTCTAAAACTTACTGCAAAGACAAATTTTCCTCTTTCAGTTAAAACTTCAAAAATATGCTTATTTAACCCAACAAGCAGAAGGAACCACACTGAAGACCACTAGTCACTCCTAGATGACCTCTGCAGGCAGTTACATTATTTGCTTATGCTCAGCGCCTGGCAAGACTTCTGTATCTTTTATGTCCATTTTTGTGAGCTTTACTAATTTGAATTCCTCTTCACATTCTAATTCACTACACAAAATATGCATCTACACAAGGCAATCAATTATACAGCCTAGCCTCACTAAAAATCTGCATTTTCCAAAGAAATAAATTCTGAATGATTGTTTAACTCATACACAAACTTAAGTCAGTTATACATAAATCATTCTGTAAATATAAAATGTAAACAGTTAAAATACTTCTGTGAGGAGCAGCACCATCTTACATGACTTTTATTAACTGTTCTATATATCTCAATATATCTTTTGTTTAAAAAGTGTATTGAAACCTGGAGCTTCGTTGATGAAAACTACTGAATATTTATGACTTAAAATGAACCACTGCTAAGATTTCTGCTACACTGATCTCATGGTGAAATAAAAGAGATAAATATTAATTTATACAGCACTACTTCTCCCCCCTTTGGATGGCATATATTGCTCAATTAATGCATTAGCTACAGAAATCCTGAGGTTCTCCTACCACTTCATGGTTTTTAGTAATCAGTTACTTTTGGTGGAGACAGAGTAGCTGAAGTTTTGCCCCTATTGCATCCATGTCATTCCCTCTTTGACCCAAAAATCACTTGCCTTAGTAGACAAAACTAGTAAGAACCAGAACTCCCAAGAATCACATCTCACATGAAAGTATAGTTACAGCATATTCATATTCCCTCTTGTCAGTCTAAACATTCTGGATACACTTCATTTTGTGTGTACAAAAACAGGCTACGAGCTAGAAGTAAACAGTTTATTGGCATTGCAATGTATTATTCATGAAATATCCTCATGTTTTATGGTGATCACAAGATTTGGCATGCCACAACTCTGCAGAAAACATCACATTACTCTGCTAGGCTGGATATTTCTGCAGCTTTGAAGATATGCTTTGCTCTCTTAAGTTCATAAACCCATTCAGATATTGTTACTTTGCAAAGGTTTTTTTCTGTTTCTCTAAAAAAACCCCCTCACTAATTGTTGCTTTTGCTGAAGTACTAGAGGCAAGTGGCCAGAATAAAAGAGGATTTTGTTCACTACCCAGCACCACAGTAGTATGCCTGAAACTACAGCTGGCTGCACGGAATTCTCTCCCCCTCCACCTGGACACAGATTTATGACCAAGCATAAAACTTTGAAGGATATCATGAACAAAACATCTGGAATAAATTCTAATTAAAAAATTGAAAACCTATAAAATCTTAAATAATTCATCATATGGTAATGAACAACATTAATATGTGCTTTGATAAAACAAATCTTACAAATTCAGTAAAAAAAGATCAGCAGCATAATAGTAAAGCAAATATGCAGATTTTAAAACCACAATAAAAATTACCAGGTTTAATATTTTACAGTTAATTACAGCAAAAAAGTGGCTGCTTATAACACAACTTACAGTTTGAAATTACAGCACTTTATGATGAACTCCATGATTATTTTTGAAAAAACACTCAAAAATACCACCAATTTTTAAAAGTGCCCTATTAATGACTAAAAGGACCCCCCTCCCACCCCCCAAAAGACCAAGTAGTCATCTACAGCAACCCAGAGGTCCAGCTGAGGTTTCTAGACTGCTGTCTGTATCAGAGGCCAATGTTGGATCTGTTGACATTGAAGACACATCATTGACAGATGACGATGAAGATGGGTGTTGAGAGCCATTGATCACTGCTGCACCTGTGCTATGAGAAACAAAACAGCAAATCAGTTGCAGATACAGTTGCACAGTTCAGTACTTGCATTAGTCTGTCTCCTCCTAATGGCTGTTACTTTTCCCTGTTTTTCTTTGAAAGTTTGAAAAGATGTGTCTCAATCCACTGTCAAAATAAATAAAACACACAACTCTTTAATGTGGGGCTTACAACAGATGGTGTGTCAGGAACTGAAATAAATGAAATATCAATTACACAGGGACAATGATATAGGGATTGAACAGATCAATAAAATGATGCCAGCCCTGAATATTCCACTCAAAAATACAATGTCTCAGTTCAAGTGCCCTATTTTTGAGTTAGGTTATTTTTGTATGTCTTGATCAGCTTTACTCTCTCCTGACCTAAAACTCAGTGGAGCCTTGTACTGTGCTTTTATTGTAACCAACCTAAAGGGGCTGGTTGGCCACGTATAACCCCGTTCTTGGTTCTCTCCTCCAGGTCCATGACTTCCTTGTATATCAACTCTGAAAATGCAGAGAAGTGAAGGAAAAAAAATTAATTTGCAACCCTAAGACTAGATCAATAATACATCTCCCATTAAAACGTCCACTCTAAATTTCATAGGACTATTACTGCTCAGAATTAGTTTTGAATCACAGATTATAGGCTACACAACAATTGGCAAGTGATATAAAAAAGTACATTCTTTTCTGTTGAAGCTACAGTGGCCTGGGACTCTTGAGAACACACTGGCATCGCTCTTGGGCTCTTTTATTCTGGGTGCTTTGAGACCTGAGGCCAAGCTGAGTCCTAAGGCCCACTCAGTTTTTATCAATGACTTCTTTGTTAAGGGAAACTCTATCAGCAGTCTTCAAAGGAAGAGCTAGGAACACTTGAAGACTTGTCCTTCTAAGTCAGCATAACATAGCTCAAGCTTCTGTATCTTTTTCAACTGTAGCAGCTTGTCCAGAAGAGTTACCCTCCCTACAAATGCTGTCCTGCAGACTGCAAAAGGTGACTGAGATGAGCAGGTCTTTAGTTCACTCCAAAGGTTCATCTCCTTTGCAGGAAAAGTTTGTGTCCCAACAATTGAGAGGCTGTGCAGCATTGGTCTGTTCGCCTGACATCCAAGCAGATGAAGTAAATACTATTAGGTTGCTCAGAAGAACTTGAATAACAATAATCACCATGGCCCAGCATACTCCCAAAAGGCTTATTATAGGTTAAACGCCTTTCTCACCTTTCCACTCTTCTATCGTGTGCTCCCTCTCATCTAACTGCTTATCTGGTATCTTTGGTGGAGGCTGAAAAACAAAACTAACTCATCATAGAGCAATCAAAAGGGATATAGAACCAGTATAAATTAAAAATGAAAGTAACCATTCAGAACATGAACCCGATTTAAAAATAGTATTTACATGACTATATATCCACTCATACTTGGACTTAGCCTGTTTTTTAGATGCTACCACAGTCTTTAAAGTTCTTCTGATTAACAAATTTGCTTACATTACTGTAATAATTAACAGAGAACCAGTCTGGTAGAAGAGCTCCTAAGTGCAGCAGTGTCCAGCACAAGCAGCTCGTTTTAGCTACTGTTAATTACTAAATTTTCTATCTAGCCATTACAGAGCAGCAGAATTGTAATTGCTCTGTCTACATCAAGTAGCTTTTTCTATTCTTCGTGGCCATCACCAAATTTTTCTTTTTAAAAAAATAACTTTTCTCATAAGCTGAAATTATTCTGAAACTAATTTCCCAAGGAAAAAAATTATATTAATCGCTTTGTTCATTAGTTTTAGTAACTGAAAGTTACTGAAAACTGTAAGTTGCTGAAACACTTATTTCTAGTTGAAGAATAGTATCAATTCCCACAATTAATTTCACTTCCCCAAGAATAAATACCTCAGAACCCCATCAAGGGCAATCAAATCACACTGAAACAACTGAAGCTCAGTACATTAGAACCCTATAGAAAATATTTCAGATGCATGATTACATATATTCAGGAGATGATAGGCAATTATATACCAACACAGAGATACATGAACACAGGGACAGGTACCTCAGCCCATTCCTGATGTTCTTTCTAATAAGCACATCTATCAATGTCAATAAAAACAATTATGGCTCAGTTAAGCTTTTAATGAAATGTGAAACAATCTTTTGTCAAGCAGTTGCACCAAGCATCACAGCAAGATGGCTTCATACAGCAGATTCCTAAGCAGAGACCTAAAACAAGAACTTACAGCTTCTGCTTCTGATGGATCATACCAAACATTGATGTATGGGTGCTGCAGGGCTTCATCCACAGAGATTCTTTTAGAAGCATCTATAACCAGCATTTTTGATAACAAATCTCTTGCTTGACTTGCTGCAAAAATAAAATTTTCTGTTTAGATTACTGCCATATAAAAAACACATAACACAGTGTTTCAAACTTTTAAAGAGAAGGGTCAGAGTAATCAAGTTCTAATTACATGTCTGTGTAACCCTCACATAATATGAGGTTTAGGTGAGTGGTCCATTTGATGGCAAAAAAACCTGAAGAGAATGACACAGGTGGGAAAGGGGTCAAGCATGTTTCATTATCCATTTTCAGCATACAGTGTCCCTTGTTGTGACATCCTTATGTGAAACAGCTCAGGTGGCAATGCAGCCTTGTCTCGAATAGCAGCAGGCAAGCACCTACTGCCCCTTTCTGTCACATGCTTTTAGTCACAGAGAACACCATAAGGGACTCCACCGAGTAGGTGGCCTTTAGAACCAGTAGTCACTGAAGTAACTACAGGGTATCTATGTATTATGAACATAAATTCCTTATTCTCATCCCTAGAGAATGAAGATCTGCTCTGCCTAAACGATTTCTATTCCAACCTCCCCCCACTTTTCTCTAAACTTGTGTTGGCATCTGTCATTAAGAGGAATATAGATATTTACATGTCTTTATAAAGACAGCTCCAAGAATAGGAGCTGCCTCATGAAGATATGAAAGTGGCGGCAAACGCATGTCAGCACATTCATCCACTCTCATGATATAAATATTTAGAACCCAAGCAGGATGATTCTATAGTGAATAAAACTAAGCTATATTTCTGTTGAATATATCACAGTTTAAAAACTTTTAAAACATACAACACACAGAAGACAGACTTTACCTTTAAGTTTATTGTGTTCGGAGTCAGCTGGGAAAAGGACATCTGGAAAGAGTTTTTCAAAACTATATCCAGCATATTTAGGTCTGTTCTCCACATAAGTTCGGACTGTAGGCTGTAATTTCTTCATAAATTCGGGACATGGTGTTCCTAGCTGCTCTATAACTTTATTCCATTGATCAATATCTAAGGTTATACAGCTAAGAAAAATACTTTGTACTTTTCTGCTACAAAGTTATGTTAAAACCACATGAAATAACAAACAGAAAAAAACGAGGAAATTATAATAAAGTATCAAGTTCATCATCATGATTTAGGACTACTTTCTTACATGATGAAACAAAGCAAGACTATGATAGTGTAGTCAAGGCAACACGTATTTCACTCAAAATTATTACTGGCTAGCAAAGGATATAATTCTGAGAAACAGAATATTAGAAGAATCACAAAATATTTAAATACAACAAATTTAACTTAAATCCTTGTCTGGGTCCTGGAGAACTCGCTCCCTGATCTGAACACACATTGGCAGCAGTCACCGAGGCACTCCTGAGAATGACCCCAAGTGGGTGCTTTGTCCTTCGTTCTCATCTTGGCACCTCAGCCCAGTCCTGGGCCACGTCTCACCAAGGACGTGCAACACTCAGCACCAGTGGGCACACCAAGGCTTGGCCCACACAGGTCAGTGACAATATTGTCAGGGACTTGAATGAAGTTAAAGAGTTTCAAGGATGCATAAGGAACATCTTAACTGAGAAGTTTACACACTGTAAAGGGGAGACTGACCACTTCAGGGCAGAAGAATTTTATGCATTTTACTGAAACAAAAAAAAGTAAAATTTGGCTCAGGAATTCCTAGTTGCAGATGGTTAAATACTGGGGGAGAGCTCAGATAAAATTTTATATACACTAATTCACATTCTCCCCAACATTTTCTCTTTGGCTACCATTGAAGAGCGAATACCAGGCTACCCAAATCAACAGTGGGTTGAAGCAGAACCTCTCTTACAGGCTTAAAACTCAACATCAGATCTCTGCATAAGGATTTTCAAGCTCTGCTGAGCTTTAGTACAGGCCTTGACAAAAGGAACTATTTACGTTGTATGGCACCAAGTCTAAATTGAAAAGCCATGCCAGCAAACCAGATGCATAAAGCAAAGCATGGTGCAGCTCATGCAATGACAGAGCTGTGTGAAAGTAAGGATGCTCTGGATGCCTTACCATGGCTCAAAAATCTCAACCCCATTTTAACCCCTAAATGGTAATACATTCATTTTTAAACAATAACCTGTACCAAAAGCAGGAAACATTTCTGATGACATCTAAAAAAAAAAACCCAATGTAAGTAACAGTAAAACAAATAGCATATCAAAGTCCAATAATTTTCACTAATTTTAGCGAAGATCTAGAGGTTTTAGTTCTGTTTGTTTGGAGCAGACTCTTTGTCTAAAATACTGTTCACACGACAACCCATATAGACACCACTAAACCATTAATGGAATAGAAAGAGAGAAATACCAGGTATTTCTGAAAGCTCCTTGCAGGATCATTTCTGCATACAGAAAATAAATCTCCAGAGTGTAACTAATGAAGATGGTTAGGAATTTTGGTAAACATTCTCTATAAAATGCAAAGAATAGTAACTACTAACATGCTCAGGCACTAAACAAGATTAGTAAATTACTACATAAAAATGAATTCCAAAGTAAAACCCAATGCATATGAACCAAGAAAACACCATCTAAACAAAAGGAAGTCTGCCTTAAGTGTGACAACATTCAAAAGTAATGGAGAGGGACTATATTACATTGGAAAAAGAAAAGAAGAGGGGGAAAAAAGGAAAAAGAAAAAAATAAGTCTGTTTGCCCAAGTGGTATGCAATGAACTTGCAAACTGGTATTTGAAAAGGTAGTCTAAAACCAGTATTTTAAAAATTAGAACCACCTTAATCTGGAATTGTATCACTGCAGTATCTTTTGACCTTTTACAACTACATCCCAGGCCAAGGGTAAGGATACGATCTGTACCAGGAAATAAAACACCACCTTTGATCATTTCTCCCATGATGCACCCAACTGACCAAATGTCAACTGAAAACAAAATGCAATGATATTAACAAAAAAGATAGTTATTAAAATAAAATAAATAAAAATATCCAGACACACACACACATGAAGTGACTATAAAAAGCATGTGCAATGAAAATGAGTGAAGGTGAATGTATGCTAACTACAGGACCAGCAGAGACTATGTCCTACTGCTAGGTGCAGCCTGAATATAAATGATTTTTTTTTAAGTGTATCACAAGAAAAATCCATATTCATTTAATAGAAAAAAACAAAAACTTGTACAATATGCATCTTCATGACACAACATCAATAAGAATGTTAATCACTTCCTAACTAATTCAACCTGCTGCAGCAGCACAAGGATACAGTCCCTTCCTGGAAAGAGGATTTTGTGGCAAACCATTTCGCCCATAATGCACCCCACAGACCATAAATCCACTATGTTTGTAGCACAAAAAGAAGGAAAAGCAAAGCAAACGGTCATTTAAAATTAAAAGAAGCATAACATGACTGCATCCTATAAACTGCAGAGACAGCACAGAAAGAAGAGCAAGTCTTTGTATTAACCAATGAAAACAGTTTAACATACACCATGTGTAAGGATTAGCTTTTAACTGTCTCAAATACAAGGCAGAAAAACATCCTTTTGTTTAATATAGTGCTAGAGCAAGAGCTTGAGCAGAGAGAGAGAGACACGGATCAAGCACAGTAAAGCACTTCTCCAAGGCAGGAGGCTTCCAAGTTACCTCTACCAAGGGAATAGATTCAAGCACCAAAGACAGATTGATTCCTTCAAAGTAATTCCACTGTAATTGTAGGAATAAATCTAAAAGTAACTAAGTAAACTGACTGCAAAAATACTGCCTATTGAAACAAGCTTTTAAAGAGAATTACATAGCAATTACAACTTGACATCAAGTATTTCCTAGAAGTCATTACCATGCATCTCTCTCTCGCTTTAAATAAAAAGCAAACAGAATCAGTAAAAGATCACTTAGAATTTTAGAGGATCAGTTAATGACAATGTTAGTATGCTCCTAGATTTTCAGTTCAAATAATTTGTTTTAAAATATGTCTCCAGTTACGCTGAAATAACACTTTATACAAAAGAAAAACTTAAAAGCAATTTTTAAAAAATGAAATATGCATTTTCTACATTACCTTAAAATAAATCACTCAGAAGACAAAGATGCACAAGTTTACTTTGTACAGGTAAGCCAATTTTTTTTGCTGTTACTTTCAGAAGTATTGTTAATTCCATATGCAAAAGTTTTCTTGAAGTCATAACAATGAAATTTTAATATTATAATACTTTTATGTCAAATATGACACTGGAATTTCAATTAAGCAAATAACAGGGGGAATTAAGTGACAACAATAGTATAGTGATAATTACATGTAAATGTTCTGAAGGAGCTCAACAATGTCAAGCAAACAATATTGCTTATTTTCCAATATTCCTTCTCCTTTATTTATTAAAGTTCCTCTAAAATAGTATCTAGATAATATGATAGGAGATCATAGTTGTGCATATTAATAGGTCAAAATTAAGGGCCTTGCTCATTTAAAAAAATATGATCAACACCTTAGTTTAGTGCTCTTTTTCCTTTAAAAACTTTTTTTCAAATACTTAAGTACATATTATTTGGCTTAGAGACCCAAAGAAGCCAAGTTTTGCCTTTGACTTTTTAAATAAAATTCTGAATGTTGACTTTTTGATCTGCAAACAACCTGCTGCCATCACAACCCAAAATACACTCAAATCTCTTGTAATTAGCTTGTGTCCAACATGATAAAGTTACCATTCTTCTGGTATCCCTACAAAACCAAATTTGAGATGTTTTGTGGTGTTTTGATTTGCTGCTTTCAACAAATCAAACAAAAACCTAACTACAGGTCTCTAACTTTTGTAGCAAACTGAACCAACGCTACTGTGAATACTTTTTCAGAAGACAAAAATCTCATTACAGATTTGAAAAATATTTTTTAAAAATCTATTGCTGTCATAAGGAGTCTATTTTATTCCTAAGCCTGTGAAGTGAACTTACTGATTTTTGTAATTCTAGGAGAAAAAATACCATGTGAAAATGTTTAAACCAAATCTACCTAGTAGGAAACGTAAAAGTAGTTGTTTCATAGTGTTTAGGGCTTTCCCTGTTTTTCAGTGTTGCCTACCTGATAATCACGGACATAACAGTGCATAAATCTGTTAAGGAGCATGTGCATGAGTAGTTCTTTAGTTGGCTTCTTAATGTGACACCTCCAATCATCCTTCTGTAACAAACCCTACATAAAAGTTAACTCTATGTATTTGTTTGGGCTCCCTAGTTTTTAAAACAATTAAAGATTTTGTATCTGTGTAGTATAGCACCAAAAAAATGTTACCCTGCAGTACATTATCTCAGTCATCAAAATATATATTGCAATCCTCCCACAAGTTCAGCAGGGCACAAACAGGCAACTGCCAGACACCCATGTAACCATTACAAAACTGTCGATTTTCAATATTTAACTCCACACTAAGTAAGTTCACAGTGAGTTTAACTTTGGGTGTGATGGGCTACAACAGGCATCAATACTAACAGGTGAGGCTCCTGGAGAGCCCATGGCTCTTACTGTAAGTGCATCCTTGATACCCATGTCCCTGCCATGGCAGCTCAACAAACTCCTTGGCAGAGAAGACTTGAGCTCACATAAACTGCCTTTTAATGAGAGCACTACGTATGGAAATGCAACTGTCTTTGGACTCACTCTATACATTTACATTCTCCAGAAGTGCCACTCTCATTTCAGTCACCATGTATTTGGCTTTGTGAAGACATGATACCTTTTCAAATGAAAGTAAATTATTATTTATGATGCACAACAGAACTCACGCTTCTGTAAGGAACAGGATTGTCACAAGCTTGACAGGTTACTCTAGAACACAATCTATCTAAGCCCAGCAGTGGAAAGAACGTTTCACACTTTTGCAACCCAAAATTACTTATTATTTAATAGAAAAATTTAAACTGGGCAAGCTGAGTTAGAAAAGGTCTGACTTTATCAATTCCTTCTGTAAGGCAGCTGCATGACTCACTACTACAACTTTAGGTACTTTTCCTTAATGTCCCTTAAATAGCCAATATAAAGTTTTGGGGGAAGAAAAGACAAAATTAAATTTGCAAATCTAAAAAACTTTAGGAATTAAATAACTAACTTGCTGTACTCAGCCTGTGACTCATAAATTACAGAAAAAACAATCATGGAGGACATTTGAAGAAATGTAGGTTCTCTCATGCACACTAACAATCTAAACAAATAAATATCTCAGTCTTGCAACAGAGATCCACTCTCATTCCTCTGAGTTGGCTTCTTTCATTGCTAGCACCATTCACACACAGCCTGAAGTCACTGGCTGCAATGGTATGCAGTTGCCAGGCAGGTCTGCAGACTATATTAGGAATGCTGAAAGGCAGAGCAAGCCCCAGTTGTGTCAGGAGGTGAGGAGCCACAATCACATCCCCAGGACACAGCTCAGGGCCTCCCTAGAGGCCTGGCCAGCAGAGCTTGAAACACACACAGTGACCTGTGGGCACTGCCAGCCTGAGGGCTGACAAGGGAAAGCACGGAGCTGCCTGAGCACGGGGACAGCACAGCAGTGAAACAGCAGCAGGATCAGGACACTCCATTGGAGTGTCAGGAAAGACACCACACCTGGTTCTCTTAATGGGTACTGCTAGCTGTTTCCTTGCAGGTGCAATGTATATGATGACGTGTTTCTCTCAAATGACAGATCTTTTTTTTATTTTCCTGTAGAAGATACTGAGAGGCAGACTGGTCACAGAGTGAGTATGGTCAGGAGGAAGTGCATGCAAAGTAAAATTCCCTTGGAATTTGTCATGGACCTCAAGAATCTATGATGCATGTACTGTCATCTTGACAGTTTTCTCTGTATGCTTCTCTCAAGTATATTATTGAGTTTTACTTCAGCAACATTAAGAACCTAGTGCAAAAGGCTCAAAGGAGGCTGGTTTTAATAAAAAAGCAATGCCACAGTAGGCCATCTTAACTTGTTTGTTCCTCAGTAGACTTTATGCTCCCTGTCTCCTGAAATACCCAATACATTTATTTAGCATCGAATTTAGTACACATATCTGCTGAAGAATTACAATTTCTTCTTCACCAGAAATAAAGTCAGATGAAGGTACAGCAAAGTACATACTGCATATTAAGAAAATATACATCCAGTTCTTCCTGGATGTCATATAATCTACCAAGGATGTTATTTAAAATTTTTAAACAAACAAGGCCCTCAATTTCTTCTCCTATTAAATGCAAACTAATTCTAATGGGTTGAGTTGAATAAACAAATTGCTGTATCCAGAATCTGCATTTTGGTCACAAGACTAATTTATACAATTTCTACATCTTGAAAAAAACATTAACATGTAAAATGTGGTGCGCCAAACAAAAAAAATAAAGCTATGCCAAAGAAAGACTATATTTGCTGACCGTTTTCTTTGTATCCCATCCCTAGGATGACCTCTGGTGCTCTGTAGTAACGAGTCACTACATAAGGCGTCATCATAAAACTAGTTCCTGCAGTTCTGGCCAGTCCAAAGTCAAGAATCTTCAAAGTGCAGTCTGACTTTACTACTATATTACTGGGCTTTAAATCCTTTAAAAAGAAACATCATATATGACTGCTAAGACAAGCACAAAGTAGCCTGTGGTTCACATTTTAAAAAGATAATACTGCTCACATTAAATCCCATGCACACAACTAGGTTATTGCTATAACTGCAGCTTTTTTCCCCTTGCATTAATGTGCATTCAGCAGATTACAGAATTAATTCCTTTATTGTGCTTGTAGATTTATATAGCAATTAAAGAAGGAAAATAAAACCAGCATTACAAGATATGTTAGCAATGTCTGAAATAAATTGAGGTTAGTAAGAAGTGTTAGCTCTCAGGAAAGGTCTAGAAACTGCTCAATGGAACAATAATTATTACTACAGTACAGAACAGAAGTAACATGACAATTACTTGATTCAATAATCACCTTGATACAAGAATTATTAGAATTATAATGAATGTAAAAGGTTCATTTGCTAGTTGAGGTTACATTACCTCTTTTGAATCAATATATTTCTCTGGACAGAAATCTCCATGCCCGCAAGGTTTTAGTTTCAAATTTATGACTTGGTTTTATACTAAGTTTGGCAACCAAACCCAAAAAGGCACCATTGAAAAACTGCCAAAAATTAACACAATCCTTAAACTGGAGTGGAAAATGCTGACATGGCTTCAGATCATCTTGGCTAGCAACATGGCAACTACTCTCTACATTGAATCCTACTGACAATAGTGCCTTTACAACATTTATTTATACAAACACTGCACAGGCTTTCTCTGTCATCATCTCAGCAGGATCTTACACACACCTGAATGTCACAGAGTAAATATTACGGAGCAACTTCAGAATAACTTTCCAATCATAAAATCATTCACAGCACATGGGACAACACAGATAAGACTAAGATACTTCCTACACACACTCTACTGAGATTAATGAGAGAAAAACCTGAGATGTGACAGAGGACTCCAGCACTTGAGCAGTAATGACTTGATAAGTAGCCATATCTGTCTTTGTTTCTTAAAGACTTAAAGGTGGATTTCTGCCAGATTTATGCAGTTTTCATTTGTACTTGGATGGCTTTCAGCAATCTCTTCATAATGCTAAGATAACTGCATTAAAGATCGAGAGGAAACAACAAAAATAGTTCCAGAACAACAGAATTTTAATGACTAAAAGTCTTGCACACATACATATTCACACATGCATTTCCTCACAAAGACTCTGCAGACAACTTTAGCTTAAAACATTCTCAAATATCACAAATGAATTTCAGTTCTATAAGGCCTTCTGGCAATTTAATATGCATGTTTCAGATTCTGCTACAGTCCTTTTTATTACCTTTTTATTTCTACACACTTATTATTTTCAGGATGTTCATTGCAGAATGCCAGGGGCATGCTCAGGGTATTAACTACACTCATCCTCCCCAAAGCTGCAGGATTAACACTCAAAATGTTAAGAGATCTTCTCTTTGCTTACCAAATGCTGTCCATTCTTATTTCTGAACACCATGTAGCTGTCATGAAGCCTAGGATCAAAATGATGAATTGACTTACACTGCATTAAAATTCATGCAGAGATGCAAAACCTGCATCTCATATATATATATATATATCTTCTGTTGAATAAACACAAACTCAAAAGCTCTTTTGGGAGTGATAAAATTAATTAGGATGGATAAATATAACCAGAACCTATAGCAGAAAATCTCCCACTGAACCTTGAAAATGTAAAATGTCAGTGCTTAAGAAACAGATTCTTGCAGGGCCATCTCCCCATTAGCCAGACAAGGAGACAGGGACATCTCTGGAGGGTAATTCATGGCTTCTTGGGGCTTTCTCTTTCTAACAGAAGATTTGTGAAGGGCTTCCATAATTAGGCCCCTTGTTAAGTACTGAAAATTGGGCAGAATTCAGTGTTTCAGAGCCTCCATGCAAGACTAATGAGCCACTCTGTGTCCCTCAGAAAGCCAGTGAGGCACAACTCTGCAACGCTGATCATTCATCCTCAGACTGTGAAATATAAATGAACGTGTACTTCTGTATTGGCTGGAAATTGCTTCTCTGCAAAATGCTTGGAACACAGTAATATTGATTGGCCAACATCTTTTAAAGTCAGTGCAAAGTTATGGTCAAATCTTTACCCATTGATATGGCAACTAAGTTTGGCCCTACAACTTCAAGGTGAAGTTGAATGAAAGTCTTTGTGTTTGATCTCTGCCTTGTTCCATGCCTCTAGCCTGATATTTAAAAAAAAACCCCACTTATTTCTATGATAAGTAGCATCCAGTGCTATAGATTTTCATGATTTCAGTCATTCAACAAGCTTTGAAAAAGTTACTGTGATTACCACAGCTATATTAGAAGTTGAAGAACCCAATTAAAAAACATGTGAAACTACCAAAACCAAAAAAAGCTTAAAGCTTTAGAGATGACTAAAGTAGGTCATTAGATATAGCCAGAATTCATAGCTCCTTGGGCAGCCACAGTAGTGCAGGCTATGTTTAAGACGTTTCAGTAAAGTAATTAGCTTTGGACATTAAGGACTGGTGCTGAGAGCCCAGAAGAATGCTACAAAGAGTTACCACGGCAGCCACACGGTCTGTGTGACACATGCCCCTTTGCACGATATCTTCCTTGTACGCCAAGGTTTTGCCCAGCTTCCTCCACAAGGAAACAAAACTTTGACACTTTGCATCTTGATGCACAATGCACTCAGCAGGTAATGCTGCGCCTGAATATCTTCAATCTTCTAAGTCTAAGAAGTCTAAGAAGAAGCCAGCTGAAAATCTACCAGGAAGACACACAAGTGAAATGTCCTTCAAAAGCATCTGCACATGTCCTTTAAAAGCATTCATGCATACATATGGTGCTATTTACATAGCAATTGTATTTAGTTTCCTTAGGATAGTTTATCCCTGTATGATAGGAAGCATTTCAAAGACTTAACCCATATTTACAGAGCCAGGAATTCTACCCTCAAAGCTGTCTTTACTCTTGCCCAACTACCCAAGTAGATACTTCTTTTCTGTAAATGTAAAAATGTTTAAATTTACCCACAACTTCTACAGGATCAATGCCTACTTCAGAGGAGTACAAACCACCCTGAGGCAAGCACACTTTTAAAAGCTCCCTTAAGCTTGTGTTTAAGGGATCCACAGAGAGACATTCTTACTTTTCCTACTCTAGCATATACAGACAATACACTGCTCCAAAACTAAAAAAGACCTAGGAAAATCCACAGCATTAAACTTGCATACATAAATATTGAAGAGAAAACGTGAAACCACGTGTGAACCATTATTTCAGACCCACAGGCACACACATTAGAACACCACGGGCTGTCTATTTTCAGGCAATAGAGTACCACAACAGTAAGTGGAACAACCTAGTTTTGCTGAGCACCCAGAACAATGCAAAAGGCCCAAGTGACCCATCTCAAATGGCCACAAGCAGACCAAGCAGCATCAGGTACAATGCCTGGTTGCAGGCAATGCTTCTCCCTCTCTTGCCCATCTCTTCCAACACATCAGTTCAATGAAATTGCATGCAAGAAGGAAGGTTTCACCTTCATTCCCTGAGCTCCTCACTGGAATGAAGCAGCTGATGAATCCTAGAACTATGTGAGCAAAAGGAAGCAGCATTTGCCCATTCAAGCTGCATTTTCCATTCAAATAATTGTCCCTGTTTCCCTGGGTAAAAGATGGCACACTGAACAGAAGTGTCAGACTGCAGATCTAGCTTGCAGACCATTCAATACCCTAGTCACAATGTGGTGGACCACTGACCTGGACAAGCATCTTAACATAGCAATTCCTGTGGCAGCACACAAGAAGTTATAACCAGACAATCTCAAACAATTTTTAATCTATATATCATTACATATGAGATGCTCACTTGAACAGGCAACCTTAAATTCAAAATTTTTTACTAGATTGCAACACACACGTCATTTAAAAAACTGTAGTCATTTTTGCCTGTTAACCATCTGAGTGAATGATTTGTGACACACAGGTGTTATTCCAATTCCAATTCCAAGTCTTTATCATCACCATCTTATCTAGAAATTTCAAATAGTTATTCATTACTCCGCTAGTAATGGAGAAGAAATAAAATAGGCAGTTCTTTCCAAAAATGGGATTTCAGGTTTGGTTACCAAAACAATAAAGGCAGAGACACTTCCAGATATCCTTTCCTGCCATGACTACTTTAGTAGAACGTTATACAGAATTAGAGGAGGTAATGCAACTCACTGCAAAAAACTTCAGTTTGCCCTGTGCAGATCATTATCAAATCATTTAAACATTCAAAAGGCTCATTCCAGAATTACCCTGGATAAAGGTGCCATGATTTCTCTTCAGCTTTCTCTCCCTGCCTATGGGACAGGCTATGAAACACCCTTCATGCTCCTATTTCTAACTTTTTTTGTCTTTTAAATACTCAAGATAAAACCAGGTGCAATGCAAATTATACATTTCAGTTCACTTACCCTATGAATAATCCCAGCTGAATGAAGATGTTTGATACCACACAGCATTTGATAAAGAAGATAGGACATTCGTTCATGGTCCAGCTCCATCTGAATCACTTGGCAGAGATTTGCATCCATGAGCTCCATCACTATGTAGCTTACAATGAAAAAAAAGAATAATCAGATAATACTGCCATTTTACTGTATTCTCTCTCTTGATCACCTTTTCATAAAATAAATTCTCAGCTTTAGCTCAAATCTGACTTACACATCTTGAAATTCTTCCAGGGATTTTTGAGGTGTGAACACATTCAGTAGGCCGATTATCTGCAGGGAGGGGGAGAGGAAGGGTAATTGTACCACAGCAATAACAAAGTTGCAGAGTCAACATTTCAAAACTGGTAACTATCATTCTGCTATGAACCTCTTGTTATACACTGAAGCTTAAGATGCTCAGTAGCCCAACCTGGCCTAACATGATCTAAACAGATCCAAATGAGTTTGAAAAGAGTATTTTTCCTCCACAAATCACATAATCCAAGGACACTCAGCATGTTAACAAGATGATATTCAAATCCTAAAACCTAAGTAGCTTTGCCATGCTTCCCCTTCTTCCTACTTTCAGTTTGAAGACCTTTTTTTTTTTTTGTTCATGAGGAATAATAAAATTAAAACCTGATGAAGACTCCCTAAAAGATACTTTGCCACTGACAGAGGTGAAGAAACAACTTCATCCAAACAGAAAAACAGGTTTTTACTTTAGGACATTTCGCATTAAGAACGGATGGGATGTACAGAAAGAGGCCAAGCTCATGAGGAATCAGGCAGGTTTTCAATAGTTTATCATCATACAAATTATGCTAGTAGGTGGAACATCCTTCAGTGAATCCATGTATAAACCACCCATGTGAGAAAAATTACAAAGTTTTCCCAAAAAGCTAGAAGACAGAGTAAGTTTCCTGACACTCTTCTTCCCTAGCAGCCAGGAGAAATTTTATCCTCCTGATAGGGGATTAAAAGAGAAGGTAAAGAAGACTGCACACATCTGACTCTGAAGGAAGAAAATGGCCAACACCAGCCTTCTGCATTTCAACTCCAATAAATTTATCACCTATTTGCTTCCCATTTCTATGATCTTGTCTACTGCACAGCTTCATAAATAGTGGACAGCTACTGCGGTTACAATACAATTCATACACCAGGGGGAAAAAAAAAGTATTACAGCCGATTTCTTTTTTCTCTTATGTGTCTAGCAGCAGGATGCACTTACCAACCATGGTACTCTCATTTGACAGCTGCTTGTAAATTTTAGCAACATAACACTGAGTCCCTTGCTGAGTTTGAAGGGGCTATTTAAAGATTGGGCAGGTATTAAAACTAGTCAATAACAGCTCTTCTGCAAAACCCTTTGGGGATACAACTATGCAATGGAAATCTCCTCTGAAGTCACTTTCCAGACTTTTTCAAAGGATAACCTTCCAGTTAATTCTTCAACATCTGAAGGAGGACACTGCACTCACATTTTTGTGATTAACGCACTTCATAAGAACAAGCTCTCTGTAGGCTCTTTTAGCGTGCGTTTGGTTCTGAAACGGTCGGCTTAACTTCTTGATTGCAACATTCCGCTCAAGGATGGCATCATAAGCTGCACTGTAATTAGAAATAACATTATTACATCTCCAGTGTCAAGTCCTTTAAGCTGTGGCAGTTGCAAACATTTTCAGCTAATTTGTATCATGTCTGCAGAAACCCCAAATTTTCAGTGTTATCCAGCTTTAGGAATGTGATATAGCAAAGTGCTCTTCTATGCTGAGTGATTCAAAATTTAAAAATATTTCCCAGCCTCAGAGCATTAACACATGACAATCCCTACAATATAACACAGTATTTCTGCTTCCAAAGATACTGAGTTCTTGCCACTCACTGGCACTCAAGTACAGACCATTACAAAAGATCCAAAACACTTCAAACATAAAAAGCACATCAATTTTACATAAAATTTTCACACTAACAGGGAGAAGGCAGGAAAAGTAGGTTATATAAAGGTCCCATGCTTTCAATTATGTAGTTGCTTAATATCCTGATGACAATGACAGCAAAGTCAAGACAAAAAAAATGTTAAGAAAGCTTTAACCTCTAGATGTCACTGACTTTAACTTGGTGAAAAAAAAACCCACAACATTTTGTTTGCAGACTAATGCCAACCATTGTCATACGATTCAGTGACACAGGCTGTTTAACTGATGAAGACTGTTATTGGAGACAACTCCCTTACATATCACATTTCCAGAACAGGAAGGCATGGCTTGTTTTTCCTGTAAGAGGTAATACAACAGATGACTGCCATGCAGACTCAGGAAATATTTATCAGTTACTAAAAAAGTATCAGCAGAGAAAATATTACTTTCTTGTCTCTTCTCAAGAATGGTACTCCAATCTAATGAAGAATATCTGCCAGTAAACAGTAGGATCTATTAAATCCAACTCACTACTTTAAGAAGTGGATTGTCTATGTAGTGTACAGGTTGGAATGATTTCTAATTTATCATCAACAAAACCTCTAGACACTACTAAAGAAAAAAAATGGGAACAACATGTGCTAGTAATTTCTTTTATGTACATTTTCCACTATAACTGGAATTCCTCCACCTGCCCCAAAGATAAGGATTATTTTATGAAAGGCAGCCAACATGGGACTGCTGTTCTAGTATTTAAACTTCTGCATTCCCTGTATGCAATAGCAGCCTAGAGCCTGTTTCAGTATCAGGCCATCTACTTAACATTCCTCCAAATCAAGTTGGATCAGTTACAACATCAACAAAAAAAAAAAAGAAACAGGTACAAACCATGACCACTGACAACAAAAACTCCAAAGAATTGAACTGTATGGAGACACATGAGCAAGATTTAACCACAGTCCTCACCAGGGTAAGCTGTGATTTAACTAAAAAGGCCTCAATTACATCACTAGCAGCAATTACAGAATGGCCCTAAAGTAAACACATGGTCAGTTTTGGGATCTCCACTCTAGGAAGGGCAATAAATTTGGAAAACAGGCAGTAGTTAACATATAACTGGCCATCAGAAGGACAGTAATAACAGCTAAATCTTTTATTGGCATTTATATAGCAACTAAACAAACTAGTCAGGCAATTGTCTACATCCTCAGTACGTTAACACACATGCAAACAAAATTCAGATCAGTTATTCTGTTGCTGCTAGTTAATACCAGTAATCTTAATACCAGAAGTTACCATTTCAAAAACAACTCTTTCTAGTGTTCTTTCTTCAAATTTCCATTTGCACTTATTACACTGTTTTATTAATCCTGCTAAAACACAATCATGAATTAAAAACCTACCTATACTACGTATTCTCTTTACACTGATCAAGAACAAGATCAAGGTAGTAAAGAGGTGACAGATTTGAGATTACACTCTCCCCTAACTTTCTCTTCCTTGATGCTCTTATATTTTTATGTACCTGATGAACATCTTAAGAATTACAATAAACCGAAAAATCGGCAAGGTCCTGTGATATTTACATCCTTCTCAAACATTCAGAAAAGCTTCCAGGAAGGCTAAGCCAACATTTCTCTTTGAGGCAATGCCACTGCACAGGAAACAGTGCCTACAAGCAGCTAGCTGTCAACAACTTAAATCAACTGGACACTTTTCACTCCACACAGCAGAGCTCTTACTCAAAGAATGACACTGTCAGGTCATACTTTCCCAAACTGCATCAGGCACTTCCATGTGACAGCCAGCATCCCAAATGCTCAATCATTGGTATCAAGGACTACTCAGATTGTGAAAGAGACTACTAATAAGCCATTTCAAGTAGTGGGAACATTTACAAGCAGCAAATATTATAGGGTATTTTTTTTTCTGGCTTTTGTTTCACTGCAAGCAGTGTGGTTTAGGATTAGGATTAGTTTCTTTATCCAATTTCTATTTCCCCCATTAATTTACAGGACTCAGCACAATTGGCTGAATTTGCACAGAAGGGCATCAACTCTAAAGCTGAACAGGTCAAAAAGCAACAGCAAGCCCTTCCTGAGTAAAAATGGTCACCAGTTACCATTGCTGTTTTGCCTGTAAAAGGTAATTCTCCACACTCCTGGCTCTGTAACATATAACATCTCAAAAAACTAAGTCAAGGAAACCTAAAGATAACACTTAAATTTACATACCATACTATCCCTTGTGCTCCTGATCCTATTGGTTTCAAATTCTGATACCGTTTCAATACGGTGAAAGTTGAGTCTCCAATTTCAACGCTGTAGAAATTGTTGTCACGCTTGCTCCTGCTCATGACGGCAACTTGGTTAGTTCACTTCATCCAAATTTTGCTTCTGGCCTATGAAGACACAAAATTGGAAAAGCTAAGATTTTACAACTATATGTAACCTGACATAATGCAAAACTCCTTTTAAGACACACAAGACACTTCCCAAATAAATCCCAAGTGCACATATAAGTTATTTCTAATGACTGCAGGAGTAAGATGGCAGGTATTTGAAATGCTGTATTTTTAAGAGTATTCCTAAGGCAGGGTTCTAGAAGGTCAAAAATAATAGAAAACTGACAGTTAATAGACGACAGAAAAATCTTAGATGGAAATGACAGAAGATCAAAAAGGCAGGAAGCTCCACATAATCCAGAGAGCTCCAAGAGTCCTACCATACCTCCATACATACGCATGCAGCAAGGGAGCAGGGCTTGGGCCAGACATGCTCCAGAGGCCCCATTCAACCCAAATTATTGTGTAATTCCATAAATAAAAGAGTGACAGAACATGAACAAGTCTTCCAGACACTGCAATCATTAAAATATTCTTGGTCACAACCACCAGAAATACCTGACACTGATATAGAAACACATACAGTCAGTTGAAGCCAGGAAAGAAAAACTGGCCTTGTCAGACATCTTTCATGAGGAAAAGTAATAATCACAGACAGAACAAAAGTAAAGAAAAAGGATGTCTATTCACCAAAGTCTTCTCGTATTAAAAAAAGAAATGCAACACCTCAATACACATCCCACAGGAGAAAAAATAAAACTGCATTGTAGCTTTTACAGTAATACTTCTCATTTCTTTAATGCTACCTGTGCACTTTTAACTTTGTCTTTACACAGGTTTTGAGTGTAGCTGTAACAGATGCCTAGTAGTGCAAGTATTTGACTAGAAGAATTGTCTTTGTTTCTTCAGCATGCTGTCTTCCATTGTTATTAACTTAAGGAACATCTTCCCGTATTGTTCAACAGTCCCGAAGAGACTCTTGCCTTCCATATGCCACAACACTATACATTTGTTAAATTTTAAGCAATCTTTGAGAACACAGACAGTGCAAACGTTGCCTCCACAAATAATAACAAATATTGCACAAGTAGTATTCTTCTTAGAATAGATGTATTCCGCTTTTAACTAGCTAACCTGTATTCATTTCACAGCTAGAGGTAAAAACAAAACACTCTGATGTTCTTTAAAGGAGACATTTTTAACTATTTGATATATTGCTAATTAAAAGTGCACTACCTTAATTGGCATTTATCTCAAAAGAAATATCAATTTCAAGACCCCTTTTCCAAAATGCTCAAAATTGTCAAAAAACCATACCTCTGTTATAAAGAGTTATAATTTATATCAAAGCAGTGTCTCTCAGTGTTTTAGCAGTTTTGTTAAAGGCTTCCTCCCCCAGTTGACAGGGCAGGCATAATTGGGCAATAGTAATTGTTCATTAACACAAGAAAAAAATCTGTATCCAGACTGTACTGGTAGGGTGGAGGTCAGCTTATTGAGGGAGACCAAAGGCCTAATTTCTTAGCAATACACGACACCAACCGCAGCTCTTTCTTCCCTGTCCATCTTACCCCTAAATCTTTGGATTCTGCCACTTCCTCAACACTGTTCACAGATGTACTTGCACACAGTTTTGGAATAAAAATGCCCAACAACATATAATGATAAAAGCCCCTGTGAATTAGAAATGAGAAAATTTGTTGTGGACAGTACGAAATCAGCCAAACACATTTTTGAAAATCAGAAAACAAAGAATGAAGACACTAATTCATGTAACCGTACATTTGTCTATCGTCAGCTGAGAAAAAACCCAGTGCCTTGAGTTTATCCTCTAAAACTGTATTAAGATCTAGTGACATTGACCAATGCAGGATTAGCTGGAACAGCTTAGTAGACAGAACTCTGCTGTTTGGTATCAGCATGAAGATAATGAAAACTTAATACTTCACTTTGGATAATTCCTCAGAAACAAATGCAGGAAGGACTGCTCCCCTCCTTCCAAGGCTTCCAGGCGAATGTTGGCACCATTCTACTAAAAGTCAGTACTTTGAATAGTCAAAGCCAAGTGTTCAATTGCATTCTCTTTCATTTTGGCAAACTTTATAGAATCAGAGAGCGAAATCAAACAAGTATAGTTTAAGAAAAGGATCTTGAGAGATAATGTTCTCTGAGAAAATAATTCCTTTGTAGTAACAGATTTTACATATATATCATACATAGTATTATAACCAAGCAAATTTTATTGCCTTGAAGCCTCAATTTGCTACAGGTTCAAAACTGTAAAATAAGCTTCACAATACGTACAAGGAAACTTGTATTTACTAACCATTTTATAATTCATAGCAGTGAATTATATGCAGCAGCATATAAAAGAATTCATTGTTTATTTTTACTAATAATATGAGGAAGGAGGAAGAGGTATCACAAAGTGAGGAAGGAATGCCTCCAGTTGCTGTAAATTCTCATTCCTTCTTCTGCAGCCCTACATGGCATTCATAAAAAATTATCAGTCTGTACTGTGACAGCAAGAGGTACAGTCTCTCTTCATTTTAAATGCAGGCTCTCCTGGCATAAAACAGATTTACTCAGTGCTTCAGAAGACATGGAGCCAATTCTCAGAAACTCCATTTCTCCTTGCACATTTTGTGTGCTGAGGGGATGTAAATAAGCCCTTTGGATGTAATGCACTCAGGTCAGCAAAGAGATCTGAGAAATTACATATGCCTAACTCCTGCCTCCAACCCCCTGGCATTTCATCTGGCCATTAATTACAGCTTCCTCAGGCTGAACCAGCCCTGACATCCATCTCCTCTGCACCCCTTGCCTCAATATCTCATAACTTCTACAGTTTTGTCCATCAACCATGGAGAGTGTCAGCCTCTCATTTCATAACCACGCTTACTTCCATTCAGTGCTTTGCTCCCACTCAGCTCAGAGCCCAGTGTAATCCCCCTTTCTTCATCTCAAAGGAAACCTCCTCACAGATGTCTGGTCCTGCCTAGCTCTGTAAACACAGTTCACAGAAGAAGGTCAAATAGTTATTTTTTTTCCCTATCTGTTAATTTACTGGTGACTAGTCTTAGGAAGCCTAGCTTCAAAGATTCACAACACCAGAAATCCTGTCTTTAAATATTAAAGCGAATCTAAATTCAGAAATTGTTAGGCTTTTAAGATTCTTACACAATGCATGCATGCCATGTCCTTCATTAAAACATGATTAAGCTATATCTGATACATTCACCTGTCTGAAATTTGACATTTTGTTCCATTTTCTAACAATTTTGCAGAAGCACAGATGGAAAGAGAGGGAAGATGGAGACTCCAGATTTCCATTATTAATGGGGAAACTAATAATACACTTGTCCCATTAACTATCAGCTTGCTGGAATGTTGTGAACTGTCAGCACAGACAACTTCAATTTCCTCTCACACACCAACTATTGTGCCTTTCCTTGAAAATACTGTGCCTAAGCAAATTACACTACATGGCAACGTTTTACTGGCAGCCTACAGTGAGTCAAGAAAAGGATATTTCAAAACTGAATTCTAAGATATTCCTGTGTGGTTACTACTTCTTCATATTGCCCTAAGCACTATTAATCCAAGGAAGCACAACAAAAATGTAGGAACTGAAAGTAACACTATATCCAGAGTGAAATCCCCCTAAGGAATCTGCAAGGCTGGATGTAAGTTTTATTCTGAATTCACTAACAGGAACTACAGTTCAACAATTCTTAGGAGACTTCAGGTGGTCAACAACTTCCACTCCTCAGTCTGTACAGCCTGATACAGCTGTAAAAACAAACATGGATGCATTGAACATAATACTCCATGAAAACACAAGTAGCATTTATCTATGAAAGCATCATGGCTAACCTTAATAAGTATGCACATTTATAAACTGTTTCACTGACACTTCCTCCTCCACAACTGAATTATACTAAGAATGAAGTCTGAGCAAAAGTCTTCATCCAACTTTAAAATAAACATATTTAAAATAGTAAAGAAACCATGTATAGCATTGTTCATACCCAAATATGCACATATTTGTCATTTGCTTCTGCTTAAAGAAAGGCATGTATCTTTAGCATGTCTCAACAAGACTGCTCTTCGTAAACTTGATGACTTCAAGATATCTGTGAGACACCATAATGCTGTATTTCAACACTAAATTTTGTCTCTAATGCAGAAAACATTCAGTTTATTAATCAAGATACAAGACCATGTATGGACAGTAAATGTTAAAAAGTTTTTCCAGTACAGCCTAAATATATTGGAGAAACAGATGGGTTTGGGATAGAAAGATACCATGGGAAAGGAAGGCACTAATTCTTTGCTCGTATAGCTTTCAATTTAAAAGCCCTACTGGAGGTGCGTTAAAAACCTTAGAAATGGCCAGATTAAAAAAAAAAAAAAAAAAAAAAAAAAACCCCAAACCCCCCCCCCCCCCCCCAAAAATACCTAAAACCAAAAACTTGCAGTGGCAAATTACATAAACAATAGAAATATTTCTTTAGAAGGCAGAGAGAGATGGCTTGAGACTCATTCCAGACCCTGTTGCATTCAATGCCCTTTACACGTACAATAGCACTGGTCACTGCTCTAAAGGGGCCTCCAGACTAAGAAAGCTCTAACTCTGAAGGGCGAGCTCCCAAGTGCAACAAACTCCAAAAGTGTTTGGAGCAGAGCTGGCACCAGTGTGGCTCCATGGAGGTTCCCAGCTGCGCAGAGCCCGTGGGACAGACAGTCACCAGGCCTGTCCTCACCGTGTCATTCTGGCTGCACTTGGGTAATCTCAAATGTTACTTTTCAAAATTAGTCCAGACTCATCTGTACTAGGACTCCAAGAAGTTTAGCTGAAGCAGCAGGCAATTAAAAATTTGCTCACCTCGTGGGCCCCTGATTAAGCACAGCAAGTTTATGTATGCACAGTTAGAAACTAACTGGAAAACCATGTGCTCTCCCCAAGATATCCGAGTATTTACCTTCTGCATAGCACCACCATGAAACAGTATTTTCTTGGCTATGACACCTGCTAGCCTTCACATCAAATACAGACCAAGACAGAACTTCTGAAATCAAGGATCACTTTGAAACCAACACATAATTAAGTGAAAGGTTACTCTGCCTAGACAGTGACCTGAATGCATGCATTGCAGGCATACAGACAAGCAGAAATGGAACAGGTCTTGTGAAAGAAAGCCTCTCTCACTTTAAATAAGAGCACAAAATATTTTATAACCTCTTCTGCAGTTTCCCACCACTAGAGATATTGACAATGAACAGGAAAGCTTCAAAGACAAAAACCATACATTTGAGAGGCGTCTCTTCTTTCAGACAAAGAACCGGAACCCCAGTGATAATTTTCCTACTGGAAATAGACATGGAAATAGAATAAACCAGAATTCTGCCAACTTAAAGGGTGGAGAAACATTTGCCCTGTACAGCTCAGTCTCTAAGACTGCTCTTAAGTGCTGGTTTATACCTTCATTAGACAACACAACATGAAAATCCAGGCTTCATCCTTTCATCCTATCCTATAATGCATAATCTCTTACTCTAGGAGTATTCTTTTATGTAAGAAATTATACATACTCAGCTTATTTCTACTTCAGTGAAGTACAGCTGAGAAGGTATTTTCATACCCCAGTACCCTGAAATAAATAAAACATAAGAAATGAGAAAAATGATCACGACTTCTAAAAATAAGTCATTTTCTTCTAAAAAGAAATTATCATGACTTCTAAAGCAATCTTCTCCTAGACAAGCAAGGATCAAGTGGTCTAAGTCTTTAAAGAAACTTTGGACGCTAAGCCAGCAAACAGTCTTTGGGACAAGACATGTCTGAGGCACAACACAAACTCCAAATAACAGTGATGTGTCTACATGTGCTGGCACAACGGTTCTACAGTGAAAGATTACGACAAGAGCTGCTCAGAAGTAGGACTGACAAAAAAATGAAGACCATGATATCAAAGAGATGCAGAAATGGAAGAAGGCAATTTTAAAATAAAACAATTGCATATATTAACACATTAAATAGTAATATAATCAACATAATATAATAACATAAGCTACCTATCAATGATGATTCAGTAACTCCATTGAGAAGGCATCTAACACCATGAAAATGAATGTTCTGTAGGAATCTGTGGCTGACCTAGAAAAACCCAACAGCTCTTCAAGTACACGCTAGTTTGCTACTGAATGGAAAACAAATGGACAGTGTACATAAAGCTCTTGCATTACTGACTTTTATTTAATTTCTTTGTGAAAATGCAGCTGATTTGTATGCATCATGTGTTTTTGAATGCTTGTCAAATTTTCAGCTGTCATGTTTAAAGGTATCTGGACACCTGCTAAATGGATAGTTCAAACACAGCCTAGTTTTCATGTATGCTTGCTTCAAAGGCTCAAATTTAGAAAACAAAAGAATTGTTTCTAAAGGTAACTTCATAGCTCATTCAGTTAGTCTCAGAAGTAATTATGGTTTTAATGTTTTGTTTGTCCATGCTGCCCTCAAAACTGAATGTTGTATTTTGCAGTACTTCCAGCTCTGTTAAATATTAATGTAGATAGAGGATTTGGAAAAAGGAGTTAACATTAGCTGGGTGAAAACTGCAGCAAGATATTACTAAACCATTACAAATGCCAAAGATGTCTAAAAACCTGAAGCTTATTCTAGAATGGAATATTCTCACTGATGACTCTAGGATTTGCATGGCTTTCAAACTACTCTTTCACAGATCAGATGGTTTTAAGCTGAACAACCTGCAGCTGCCTGAACTACTCCTAAAAGTGCTGGTGTGTTTAAGGAGGCCTCCAGCTGCTGTGCCCTGGCAGTGCCTCTCCCCTCAGCTACTGCTCACCTGCATTAACACAACTCTGCCTGCTCACACCACTCACAGGACAAGAGGCACAGCACAAACTGAAAGTCTACAGCTCTGATCTCAGGAGCTATTTTCTGCTTGCAGCTATTAAACAAAACCACAAATATACTGGAGTGATTCTTGTATAGCTCAGGTCAGAAGCACAGCACGAGTACATTTCTTAAAATAACTACATTTTAACATATCTTTTGTTCACCAAGAAGTCAAACTTCAGTTGTTACAGATTCAGTAAAGCAAAGGTGAACACTAGATCTCAGTGTTCACCAGGAAAAGAAGTACTGAGGCTGGGGAAACCTGCATAAACATGACAAGGGCACATTTAGATTTCTATGTTATGACTTGCCTACTGCTTTCAAGTTCAAACAGAAAAGGGCAGTGTCACTCTAGTTTGCTCAAAGACAAGAAATTTAATTTTTTTAAAACTTTAGGACAGTTACATTTTTTATAGCCGTTTATATATGGAGAATTCAAAGCCAATTAGTTGATTTCCCAGAACCTGTTGAGTCTTTAACAATATACAGATGGCTTTCTTCACTAAAGATGGTAATTTCAGAAAAGATGACAGGTTTATTATAGACAAATAAATTTGGCTAGAAAGCAAAATATTCCTGAGTACACAACAGCAAATGAAACTTTAAAAATGTAATATGGGCTGTTTAAATCAAGGAATTACTTCACTGGTTTGGCAAACATTGTTGCCAGATTGATAAATCTCTTGCAGAGATATAGAGCCCTCTGTGTTAATCTAATTCTGTCCTCAGTACAATTTAACAGGGAACAACAACGTAGAGTCCTAAATTAATAAACAATGTACAAAATCCTCTAATATGAATGCAACCTTTGCCATAATTTAATGTTGCAGTTTACAGGTTGATATAGTGACTAATAGCATGCTCCAGATGGATCACATAATGACTTTTCCCAATAATCTAGGAAACTAGATACAGTTTTCTTCATATGTATCTGCTATCTCACCTTATTAAGACAGTTAGTCTAATTTAGGAGTCTACTAGAAGGGGAGGACATACAGAGAAATAAACCACCCCCTTCTCTACTCCAGCAGCCTTTTCTAGGCAGTAGTCACCTTACTACAGTTTCCATAGAATAGATGATAGTCTATTTGAAGGTAATTGCAGTGGACTGCACTTAATTATGCACGCCAAAAGTCACCTGGAGGCCCTTTTATAAAAAGGAGGTGCCTACTACTTAAACAGCACAGGTTCACAGTGTCTGATAATCTGATTTTAGCCTTCACAACTGATGTCTTTCCCCAGATACCAGTTCTGTTTGGAACAGACAAGTAATCCTATTACCTTACATAGAGGGAGCTTTCTTGCAATGCTCTGCTCCAGATATAAGTATCTAAAAAGCATAAAGGGCCTCAAGAGCCACAAGGTCCTAAGAGTTTTCACTCTGATTAGTAGTGACTGAAGAGTTTTTCCAGATCCTGAATCAAAACAGAAATAAATATTTACAACTTGCCAAGGAGAACATGAAGACAAAAATAACAACAAAACAGAGCCTGAATTAGTACAGGAACATTTGGGTGGTTTTTAACCCCATCTGTAAAATCTGTGGTGAGGATGATGCAGAAGATTAGAATCCAAGTGCCCTGAGGATGAACTGAGGATGTTCTAGAGAAACACTAGAGGTACTGATAAATGCTACTCAATTTATCAAAAACTCTTCAACAGACTCCATGCTCAGCCCTCTATTTTTTCCTCTTACAAAACAAGGTGAACTTTTACGTTTTATACTGCTGTAGTAGAATTTGAGGGGCAGGGAAGGAGAAAACTTAATGGAAAAAAACAACCAACAACTTTTTGTTTTTAATCTAAATTACACTTAGTGATATTCCTTCATTTTAAATCTTCCCCACCCTAATTTTTATGTACTTTATAAACTACAATAGAAGGGGGCAAAATGAATCAATAAAATTTCGTATCTACTGAAAGCCAGCTTCCAGCTCAGAGACAGACTAGGAGTCGTCAAAAGAAACTAGGCATGCAAAAAAGGACCTATCCTTTTTTATCCATGCAAAAAAATGCATGTTCTGTTTTTTATCTTAATTCAACTGACCTGCTGCTTTTTTTCAGTCATTTCAGTCAGACCACGAAGAGGCTGTGCCAGCAGCTACAGCACCTGGGTAAAGCACAGGTAAACAGCCTGATCCCCAACCACCACTAACATTGGGAGCTTCCTTGTTTGCTTTGAAGGGAGGGACAGGAGAGGGGAATTATTACTGACAGCCAGGCAAGAGGAACATACTTATCTCCCAAGCAGAGCTTCCAGCAGCAGCTGCTGGCAAATGCAGCCCCTTGAGTTTTCCCGTTTCAGGCTGTTACTCACCCTCTGGTGAAAAAGCCAATTTCACCGACACTGAGGACAGACATGTTCTACGGTGTCACTGAAGCAGGGATGCCCCAGGGATTATATTTGCAGAGTCAGTCACACAGATAGGCACTTGAAGCTGGCATGTTCTCCAGCACTTCCTCTGTCAGACTTCTCTGATCAATACTACAGCATCTAACAAAAGTAAACGTTTCCACTAAAGACTGTGCTGTTTTGAGAACCTCACCCCAAATGGTTTCAAAACTCACAATAAAAGGTTAATAAAATCAGGAATGAGCTCAAACAGATAATTTTGAACATGTTTTTTGCACCAGTGCTGGAACTCCCTGCATCAAATTACATTCAAATACTATTTAGCCTGAAAGAGCAATCAGTCACAGGTGCAGTCACCAGTGCTAAAATATTAACAGCTGAACCTGAAATTAGGGAAACCTGAACTTGGCAACAGGGATTTTTGTATAAGGCAACTGGAACATGAGCTTTTTCACTTCCATGTTTCAAGTACCTTGGAACAGTCCGATACACTGTCAGAAGTAACTAATGGCTCAGAAGCTGTTTAGCTGTAAGGAAAGACCTCTGACTGGCAGCAATAAAATTAAGACTGTAACTAGCAAAATACTGATACTGTCTATAAACAGGTAGGCTAAAATCACATGCAAACATGCACAAAGCCACAAGAAACAACTCGTGTTGTTAAGCACTGCTCCAGGTGAGACATTTCCTGGCACTGCTGGAACGGACAGGACCACCGAAGCTCTGCCAGTGATTTCACACGCTGCTCCCCATGGAGCACAGGCAGCGTCAGCACCTCCACATCACATTTCCCTCAGAAGCTCAAAGCAAGCATTTATGCAAACCAAGTACAACATACCAGTGTTTTCTCATCCTGCCTGCTGAACGAGGGTCAGCTGAAACTGCTGAACTTGCATTCACAGCTTCTGAGTACCTCTATATAAAAATCAATATTACTGCACATTTCTAAAGCCAATTCTCATATTGCAAAACACCTCTTGCAAAACACCCAAAATAAGACAATCATTTCTGGTACCACTAAAACATTACCTTTGTTTAACATAAAATTCAATTCCTCTGAGAACTGAATTCTTTATAGTCAGAAAAAAACACAATCACACACCTTGCACAAGCAGGATAATGAAGAACCAAGTAACAAATGCACCACTGTAAATGACTTACATTGTAAGTTTTGCAGTGATTCTCTTTTCAAAACAGACACTCTTTGGGTTTTATCAGTAAACTTCCTATAGGGAGGATTAATCCACTTTCTTCCTTTTGCACCTACATTTCTTGACACTCTAAGATATTGTTCCATAATGCTATTAGTTTATAAATTACAGCCTTTTTACTAAAGAAAAAAAAAAAAAACCACAAACCTAAAAAAAAGCATATGTCATTCATGAAGAGTTAAGGCATTGTTTGTTAATGGCACAGGATAATTAAAGACTGCCATAAAGCACAGGAAAAAAGCCACATGGGCTGTATGTTTCTGTTTATCTTACACACACACATTACCTAAACCAGTCAGGTAACTGATACACTTCTGGCACCTTGAGCTAGTCAGTTTTATTTCTGTTTTAGAACTGTGACTAAAGCAGCTGGTCATAGAAGAAATTATCCAGACTTTCGGTTTAGGGGCTGCCTGCCAATTAGGTAAAACACACATTACAGCCACCAGCAGCTCTAACTTCATCACATGGGAAGTTAAACAAAATTAAGATTCAGGAAACAGGAAAATGAGAAGTCAAAATACAGAGACTTAAAGTAGCCAGAGGGCAAGGAAAGAAAGATGCATAAGTGAACGTATGCTATGAGCTCCATGAAAAGGTGAAAATTTGTGCTTGCTTATCTACCATTCCTTCAGCCATTTCCCGCCCCCTCTAAGCAAGGACAGTCTGCCAGTTTGTGACAGGGAAATGAAACCTCACATTTCTTCATCATCTGTGATTATTACACACCAAGTGCTATCCAGATTGCCAGGTTTCTGAAATGTAATATCTTTAAAGGTCCATAATCTAAACATGAAGCTATCTCTACAGAAAGACACCAACATAAATACTTAAACCTTCAGAAAGCTGCACTAAGAGTTACAAAGCTTAAGAATTGCCCAAACTTTATCTGAGGCTTTGAAGTTGATTTTGGTGATAGACAGAGTCCTGGTAATCCAAATCAGCAGCAAATAAGACAGCAACACTTACAACTTCCCAGCACTTCTCACAGTCAACTCCTACAACACAGCTGCTCCAAAATACCAGTGCATCCTTTCTGGAAAACCCTCACCTGTGGCCAACAGCACTTAGTAATTCTTACCAAGCTACAGATCACTTCTAATCTAGTTTACTATAGTGCCACTCTGCTGCAATATGGCATTCTGTATTACCTGTCTTCCAGGGCCTGTATTTTGTGATAAGGCTACATGTGACACAAAGCTTAACATAGGAGGTTGTACAGTGAAATTCCTAATGGAATACACTGCAGAGTTCATGTATTCTTAAATATTCTTGTTTTATTAAGTCATTAGACATCAGCAGCGACTGTTTTAGAAAAACATCTTCCATTCCCTTTAAAACAGGTTTTAGATTCAAATGCCAGGACGCTGTAAATGAGGCAGATAGGCTGCAGCATGCAATACTCACCAGCCTGTAAACTGGCATTTCTAATGATGAAGATTCTCATCCTACCTTTCCTCCTGACTTTCTTTATTGACTCCTGAACTGTGACTTTAATTAACCATGAAGAAATTTATTAGGTAACATTTTTCTAGAACAAGCAGTATCAGAATGAGTAGTGCTATATCTACAGAAAAAAATATCACTCTGCAAACTCTGCTGTGCTACATTTACTAGAAGAGCATCTCTACAGCTTCTTCAGTGTAACATCGTATGAAGCTCCACTACAGATTGGTTCCAAGATGAATCCTATTATCGCAATATATGATAATATAAGATGTTGTGTCTTCCAGGTCAGATTTGTCACAGAAATCATAAACCACAGTAGCTTCAACAAAAGAAAACTTGTGTGACTCTATATTTTCGTAGAGAAGCTGTTATGACAACAGATTAAAAGGCTATTCTTAGCAAAACTCTCCTTTTCAGAAATAATAGGATAAGACAAGGATCTTCCAATTCCTTAATCCTTTTTCAAATAAAAGATAATAGAAAAGAATGGCAAATGGGGAGAAAATCAAGGTATGCATGTTTTTCAAAGCTTAAAATATTCATGTTAATTGCAGGACACTATTTGTCAATTTAATTTGTTTTGGCTTTTTGTAAATACTGCTCTTAAAATGTGAAATCAGTGAAAATTCAGTAAAGCAACAGTTCAACAAACGGTTCTATTTTAAGCATTAACTGTCAGAATTTCAATCCAAGTGCCTGCTGCTGGAACCACAAAAACACGTTTAATCATAGTCATGCCTAAACCATGACTGAAAGCACTGCATTCTAGGGAATGCCATTCAATGCTGCCTTATGTAGCTCCTTTTTCACACAATCATGTGTCATGGCCCATTCAGCTTACTCAGGTACTTGAAAAAATGTAACCATGTAAACCTTGAAATTGACAAGAAAATAATAAATTACTAATCTGGGCACAACACTGTTTCAATTGACTACCTAAGGGAGTGCTAATTCCCACTATTCCACAAAGGCATGCCTTCATATGGTAGCTCTCTGAACATCCACTGGCAAAGCAACAAAGAGGCAAGCCAACAGCAAAATAAACCAGTGAATATAACTCAGAGTGCTTCAATGAGATCTCCACAAGTTTAGAAGCAAAATCCTACCCTGAGAGTAATCTGGGAGTGGGAGGAAATGCTTGTTCTTTAACCGTTTTTTGCAGGGGAAAAAAGCATAAAAAAGCTAAATGTTTCAGCAAAAAACAAAATTAAATGGTTTTTAAAATTGTTTTAAAGGACAACAGCAAACAAAAGATACCAAGTGACCTAAAATAGTAATTAAATATCAGTGATCAAGAGGACAATAGCTACAGAACATTAGAGGAAGGAAGGATTTGGGTAACAGCTGGGAAAAAAGTTTTCAGAATGTTTTAAAATGACATTAATTTTAACTTTTAATCCCAGCTACGAAAACTTAGAATCCAATTATGAATGTGCTACTTTTGTTAATTCATGCATTTATCTGTGAAATACAAGCAGATTAATGTGCTATGAAATCCTGTCTAAAGTATTTGGCATAAAATACCTCAATAATAAGAGCTTTAGAATGGAACAAAAAACTCCAACACATGACAACTTCAGCACTAAGAATTCCTTCAGAGATACCTCTTGTAACACAATACAATACTTTGCACAGTAATTTCTTGGGACTGGGGTGGGAAGGAAGGCAGCACATTTCAAAATAAAGTAACCACTTTCTGGGTAATTTGTAGGAAACTGCACCAATAATTACTAATAGCAATAGTCTGTTCTGTTGTCCCATTTCTCTTAGACTTCAGTAGTGCCTGATGCTCTGCCCCAGTGTATGGGGTTTGCACGGCCAGGTCTTGGTAGCAGGGTGGTTCTGTGAGAAGCTGCCAGAAGCTTCCTCCGCATCCAGCAGAGCCAGCCGGTGCCAAGACGGACACGCCGCTGGCCAAGGCTGGCCCAGTCAGGGGTGATGGGACACCCCTGTGCTAACAGCTTGTACTGGGCCTGGCTGAGCTGGAGCTCCTTTTCCCACAGCACCCCTCACAGTGCTGTGCTCTGCACCAGGAGCTCAAAGGGGCTGATAACACACCAGCGTTCTGGCTATTACTGAGCAGAGCTGGCAGCATCAGCACCTCCTCTTCAGCATTTCCCTCAAGGGGCTGGGGGTGGGCAAGATCCTGGGAGGGCACAAAACTAGGCCAGCTGACCGAAATTAAAAAGAAATATTCCTTACCATATGGCAGAAGTCCCCAAAAATAGGAAGAGTTTGAGAATTTCCATTTTTTAAATAAGAATATTAGCCTTCAGAAGCACTGCTGTACACTAGCACTGGTGAATATGCCTACAGAGAGTTGTG